GGGGGAAGAGCCGAAGAGGAGATAGAAGGGAGAATAGAGGCGGATGGGGGATGTAAGATGAGAAAAGGTCTTACAACATTGATGTAATTGGTTGGCTGGATTATGAGTAGTTGGATAAGAAGGGAAAGAACTAAGGAAGAAAGCGAAAATGGATTGGCTGATCTGGAAAAATGTAGCAACATCCTCGACCATGTGAAGAACAAAAGAAAGGTTTCTAAACAATGCTGAAGAGAAAGGAGAAGAAAGAAGGAATAAAATTGCTTTTTTACTTAGTCTCAACCTTGTATCTCTCTGTCGATTATCACCTGTTTATCACTGTGCCACTTTATGTAATGCTTTTATTAATATTTAATTACAAATAGGTGGTTTCTGTCTGATATGTTAAAGAACCACCACAAGAACCAAAATTTGTGAAACATACCAAACAAATGAAGCACAAGCTAAATTTGGCTTCTGTGCGGATTATCACGATACCCTGTACTATTCCAGGGTGAGAAGTGATGGCATTTTTAATATTCAGTGTCTCAGAGAACTAATTTGAGAGGCTGGAACGTGTAAGATATTCATGATAATGACTTGTACCCTGTTATATTATTGTCGTCTAGCTGTAGAATATTTTTGAGTGCTGTTGGTTTTGTTGATGATAGATTTGCAAGTTCCATTATCAATTTTCAGAACATTCTTGTAACTATGGTGCCTTTTCCCTGCCTTGCTGGCTCTTTAAGATTAAAAGACAACTGATTTTCAGGGTAATATGATACCATATTTCTGAATCCCAATGCATCGGTGGTAAGTCTGATATTGTTTGTCTTTCAGTTTTTTCTGGAGCTGATGAAGGTGCCTCGAGTAGAGTCAAAACTAAGAGTTTTTCTCTTCAAGATCCAGTTCAACTCTCAGGTTTGTTTGTATCTAGTAATCTTTTGAAATAAGTATCATCAGTATGATCTGAGATTAGCTTTATCTCAGGTCAAGGACTTCAAAAAAAGCTTAAACACTGTGAACTCTGCTTGCGAAGAGGTACTTTTCTAGGTTCTATATTTCTCTTCTTTGCTTTTCCTATTTATCTTAGTATAACTCAGTGCTTGTAGCAGGTCCGATATTCTCTCAAATTGAAGGAAATACTGAAGAAAATATTGTATTTAGGGAATACATTGAACCAGGGAACTGCTAGAGGTAAGACTTTTTGTAGCTGGAATTTCTCCATTCCTCTTGAGTTCTTTGTAATCTCAGATTTCTTAATATGAACTAATGCTGGAAAGTTTGAATATCATGTGTGACTAACTCAATTGCTTCCATTGGGAGCTTGCGGCTTTTCAAATTTATAAATTAAGTACACTATTGCGCGACTAGATAAACAAGGAGAAATACCATAACTAGAGGTTTCAATTGTTTATTATGAGTTTTCTATTTCGAAATGAGTTGGTTACGTGCTTTTACCCTAAAGTGGTGGTTTTCTCATCATGGATACAATTTTTTTTTTTTTTGATGAAGTAAGAGAATTTTATTAAAGGCATCAAGAAGATGCAAGAAGTACAAAAGAGAGATACATAAAGACATAGTCAGCTCTATAGACAAAAAATTAGGCTAAAGGTAAAGAGCTGACGAAGTCCAAAAAAATTAATAGGACAATTGACAAGAGCTAAATTCTGCCAACTATATAACCATATAAGTCATCTAGCCTTAAGTGCGTATATTGGAGTTGATATCCCATCAAAACATCTGCGATTCCTTTCTGTCCAAACACACCACAAAATACAAGAAGGGATCATCTGCCATACTTTACTGATGGATTTATCAACTTTCCATGAAGACCAGCTTTCATACGTATCCTTAATGTTCTGAGGCATGACCCAGCTTAAACCAAAGATGGCAAAGAACATACACCAGATATCTGCTGCTGCAACTGGGCAGTGAAGAAAGAGATGCCTGTTGGATTCTGGCTGCTGCAAACACATATAACATCTGTTGGCCAGTTGAAAACTTCTTCTGCTGAGATTGTCCTGTGTTAGGCATGCTTCATTTAGGACTATCCAATTGAAACATGAGATTTTTGTAGGTAGCTTGGTCTTCCAGACGTATTTCCAAGGTCATCTATCAATGATTTCATTGGTGGAGCAAAAGTAAGTGTAGCCTGCTTTAACGGTGTAAAGGCCATTCTTGGAACTCGCCCACCTTATACTGTCAAAAGTATTTTCTTTGACGGAGAGGCCATCCAATTTTGTCGGCAGATTTTGAAGTTGTGGAACCTCCCAGTCCTGCATATCCCTCCTGAAAAGAATGTGCCAACTATTGTCTTGCCAATTTTGAGAAATAGTGGAATCTTGATTCTGAGCTATCCGATAAAGGCTAGGAAAGTCAAACATCAGGATGGATCCTTCAAACCATTTATCTTTCCAGAACTTTATGTGATTGCCATTGCCCAATTTGAAGTAGGAGTTCCCGGAAAATTCACTCCAAAGCTTCCTAATGTTCTTCCATGGACCGACCCCAAATGGACTTTTGGACAGCTTAGTACACCAATGATTCTCGGACCCATGCTTGGCCTTGACCACCTCTTTCCATAGTGAGTTCTCCTCTTGATTGTATCTCCATAGCCATTTCATCAGCATGCATTTGTTTGGGATGGAAAGATCTCTGATGCCTAGGCCACCCAAATACTTTGGCATGGTTACCTTTGACCACTTGGCTAGATGAAATTTATGAATTTTGCTGCCTCCTTCCCATAGGAATGTTCTCCTGATCTTGTCAAGCTGCTTTAAAATTTTGTTGGGGATTGATATGAGGGACATCAGGTATGTTGGGATGCTATCTAGCACACTGTTGATAAGTGTCTGCCTTCCTCCCATTGAAAGATACTGCCTTTGCCATGAAGCTAGCTTCTTTTCAAATGTTTTGCTGCAAGAGGTAGACCAAGAGGTATGTAGTAGGTAATGTAGCAGTGTGACAACATAGAATTCCAGCTAGTTCCTCCACATTGTTGACTTCATTTATAGGGTAGATAGTGCTTTTTGCCATGTTAAGGTGCAAACCCGAAATAGCTTCAAACAGATTCAAGGTTAGGTTAAGGTATAGCACTTGGGTTCTTTCAGCCCCACAGAAGATCAGAGTATCATCTGCATAAAGCAAATGAGATACTGAGAGAGATGGGCCAGTGTTAAGGCCCATTTGAAAGCCACTAATCCATTGTAGCTGCTTCGCTTTGTCCAACATCTTGCTAAGGCCCTCCATGGCCAGAATAAAAAGGAAAGGAGAGAGAGGGTCTCCCTGTCTAAGTCCCTTTTGAGGGGAAAAGAATCCCAATGGCCTTCTGTTGACAAGTACTGAGAATTTAACTGTGGTAATGCAAAATTTTATCCATTTAATCCACCTGTCACCAAATCCCATCTTCCTAAGCACATTTAGAAGATATGCCCAATTCATCTTATCAAAGGCTTTTTCTACATCTAGCTTGCATAAAATTGCCAGTCTAATACTTCATTTGCAATGAGGGTTGCATCAGTGGTCTGTCTGCCTTTTATAAAGGCATTCTGATGTCCAGAAACCAGACCACCGACCACTTTCTTTGAGCCTTTCTGCAAGTAGTTTGGCTGCTATTTTGTAAACACTACCAATCAAACTGATTGGTCTATAGTCTTTGATTTCAATGGCTCCCTTCTTTTTGGGAACTAAGGCTATAAAAGTGGCATTGCAAGACTTCACCATGTGACAATTATGATGAAAGCAATTCAGGGCAGCCATCACCTCTCCTTAATGATCAACCATGCTTTCTGGAAAAATGCCATTGTGTAGCCATCTGGCCCTGGAGCCTTATCTGGAGAGCATGTTTTAATAGTAGAAAGGACCTCCTCCTCCTCAAAAGGAATTTCCAACCATGATTTGTCTTCTTTTGATATTCTTTCCAGATCATCAAGACTGGCTGTGGGTCTCCACTGTTCAGACTCAGTGTATAGTTGTTGGTAAAAATCCAGAATTTCCCCTTTTATCTGTTCCTTATCTTCGATAATCTCAGAATCAATCATAAGTCTGTCAATGCAATTATTTCTTCTACGGGAGTTCGCAATTCGTTGAAAGTATTTGGTGTTCCTATCTCCTTCTTTGAGCCTTGAGCCATAGGCACCTGGACTTCTGCCTCCATGAAATCTCCTCAGCTTTTGCTATTTGCTCAAATTCTAATTTTAAAGCGAACATTTTGCTTTTTTCCTCTACAGTTTGAACCCTATTCTCTGTGACTTGTTCCAACACTAAAAGTTCATCTAAAACTTTACTCTTTCTTGACTCAACCTTGCCAAAAACTTCCTTATTCCAGCAGGAAATGTCTTTCTTCAATAGTTTCAATTTCTGAATTAGAATATAGTCTGGACTCCCATGTATGGTATAACTCTTCCACCACTCTTCAATATTCTCCATGAAACCATCTGCTTTTAACCACATGTTCTCAAATTTGAAGTAAGATGGATTCACCTCCCAGTCCCCACACTCCAGAAGTAAAGGTTTATGATCAGAAAAAACGCTTGGAAGGGCAATTTGTTTCACATCCTTAAAGCATTCATTCCACTCTGGGATATAAGAAATCTATCTATTCTAGAGGCTTGATAAATGTCTTCTCCCCTAGACCATGTGTAGAAGGCACCTTGGAGAGGTAAATCAATAATTCCCAGGTCTTGAATGATATCAGAGAAACCCCTCATTGCTCTGGATCTTCTAATGCAGTTGTGCCTTTCATTCTCATATCTGCAAACATTAAAATCTCCCCCTACCACCCAATTCTCACTCCAGATACCCCTAACTGCAGCCAATTCATTCCACATGTCCTCTCTTTCCTGATTGGAGTGAGGACCATAAATCCCTGTAAAGTACCATCTGAACTCTTTTTGTGTGCTCTCCAATATGCTTGAAATAGAAAAAGTCCCATGGTGTACCTCCAAACAATTCCAGCGTCTTCTATCCCATAGTATTATGATGCCCCTCCTTGTACCACGACTTACGCTCTGCCCAATCAACCCACCTGTTACCCCAAATCTGTCCGGAGAGATTAACAGACCAATCCTCTATTTTTGTTTCTTGCACACAAAGAATATCAATCTTCCACTTGCGAACCGATGAGCTAAGAGTACCCCTTTTATTGTTATCATTCAACCCATTCACATTCCAGCTCAAGATTTTGAGCTTCATTCAGAAAAAGCCTTGTAGTGCCTCCCCCTATCTCTTTTGTTCATCCTTTCATAATTGATCCCACATTTCAGCTTGTTTATTTCTGTTTCCCCTTTCTTCTTACTGTGTTTTTTAACAGGATTTGATAAGTTTTTGTGTTTTAGCTGAATCTGCCTTCTTTCCTCCATTCTTAAGATGATGTCAAGCAGCTCGTGTTCCAATCCCGCAACATTCACCCCAAAAGCCTTGCATGCCTTCACCATTATCAGCTTTGTCCACCTTGATGTATCTATCACTGCCGGTTCGATAACCAGTGTTGAAGTCGACCCATTCTCATGCCATGAGAGCAGTAGAGGAAGTGAAGAAGACGAGAAATCAGATTCATAATCATGTACATGCAGTGGTTGTGACATCAAATTTTGTTGGTGAAGCATTATGCTGAAATTTGTTGGAGGGTCAGCCTCGTCGTCAGCATCTGAGCTCTAATTGGGGTCTCCTATAGTAGTTTGAAGAGTATCGAGCATAAGAGAGCTACTGGGATGAAACCCTCATGGTTGGCCTGGTGGCAATTGACTTGAGCCTTGGGGTTTGCTCCCTTTCAAGGTCTCAAGTTCGAAACCCACTGGGTGCAGACAATTTCTGAGGGCCATCGGACTGGGTAAAACCTGAATTAACCGTGGTGCACTTGCGGGAAACTCCTTGCCGAGGGCCTGTGCACCCCCGGGATTAGTCGGGTCTCAAAGAGACTCGGACACCCGGTGCAAAATCAAAAAGAGAGCTACTGGGATGTTCTGGAATAATCTCTGAGTTTAAGATTGGGGCCTCAGATAAATCCTTGGCCCTAATATAAAAAACCCTTTTGCTTTCCAAAAAGTTTTGGGTTGACTCCTATTTAAATGCCCTTTCTTCTTTTTTGGGCCTTTTTCATTATAGAATCTTTCTGTCTGCTGGCCTAATAAATTTGAGGGGCCCCTAAATTTTTTACCCTGTTTTACAGCCCCTTTTTGAAATTAAAGTAGCCACAGGGCCCACCACGTGCTGGTTACAAGATGGGATTGGAATAGGTTTTTGTTGGCTTGAGGGGCCTGACCCATCAGTCATCTCAACAACACTTTTTCCCTTTGCCATCGAAATAGAATTAACACCGAAGCCGGAGTTCAATATATTGCCGGATTTCTTCGCAGTTCGCACGAGCATCTGGAATTATCGAAATTTCATACGTCCATTCACTCACCGGTGATTCTAGTATACGAGGAAGATCGTTGGCAGTATTTTTGACACATATGCGGGCCCAGGACAGATGACTTCTTCCCTTTGTATCTTAATCAATGGCTATAAAGCCACCACAGAGGTCGCCGATGATGGTGAAAAAATCTTGAGACCATGCGTGAAGTGGAATCCCAAAAGCTTTTACCCAAGTATGTTCTTCTTTTCTGATAGCCATGTCCAAACCCGACACTGGAGACCACCGATCAAGAGATAGGTGTCTACCGTTCCTGAACCATTCACCGGCTTTAATGCGAAACGCCTCTTGCTTCGAGGGAAAATCAAATAGGAACATGTTGTGATTTATCTGGGTAACTTTGAGACCTGCCGTGACTTTCCACCTGTTTATAAACCACTTCTGAATCACTTCAGGGTTGGGGCTTATATTAAAGGTATCATTGAAGACACCAACAAGACACTTTGAGAGGAATTGAGCTTTGACACATTCTGATGAGGGACAAGCTTCGATTCTCTGTTGAGCTGCATTCTGAACATCACCAGATGGCCATTGAAGGATCTTTGCTGCTTCCATATAAGATTTGGCCTGCTGACATGCCAGGTTGAACCTTGAATCCGAGAAATTTCCCAGAAAACGAAGTATTTTATTAGCAATATCACCCCATCCCTGATTGTAATCGTTTTCTGGGATAATAATAGCATCCCTTTTAACCCCGAGCCAGGCTTCAATCCTTAAAAATCTGCCATGAATGTTGTAGTTCTGGAAAACTCTGTATGAGTATGCTTGAATTTTCCTCCCCCATTTTCTTCCGAGATTCCCTTTCCCCTTAGAGGCCTGAATCATGGCATCACACACCCATTGCAGATTTTCCCCATCAATAGTAAGTCTACTAGTGAAACCCCTCCTGCGCTCCGTGAAAGAAAACCACCTGTCATAACCTTCGCCAATGTCGATTAGTTCAAAAGATTTCTCGCTAGAAATAAAGAAAAGATTACCAACTATGTCAATAAAGTAAAGGAGAGATGATCAGAAAGAGAATCATTTTGAAAAGAGTTTGAAAAAGCCAAAGAAAAGTTTTTAGAGAGAAGTCAGACCTTCTCTTTCTAACTTTTTCTCCAAAATATATGTGTTTGTGATGAAAATCTGGATACAAGTTATTAAAGCAAGTCATTAAATTCATTCATTGTTGTTACAGTTTGTTATTTTGCAAATGAAATATTTAAATACATTGAGAGATTCATAATTGTGGGGCTACTGTTACAGAATATATACAGAAATGTTTTGCTTAGACTATTTAGTATTTATGTGGATGATGAATAAAAATGCTAAAATGGGTACCAAATGGACCCTTGATTGATATATGAACTATGTTACCTCCTGTTTAGCTGTCCCAAGGCAATTAGAGGATTAGCAAATTGTTTTATCTGATGGAAGTGACAACAACAACATTAATCAGAAGTGACAACAACAACATACCAGTATTATCCCACACCGTGGGGTCTGGGGAGGGTAGTGTGTACGCAAGCCTTATCCCTACTTTGTGAGGATAGAGAAGCTAATTTCCAATAGACCCTCAGCTCAGGAAAGCATAAGCACCACATTAATGAAAATATAGACAAGAAGTGACAGTACCAAAAAGCCATATAAATGCAGAAAAAAAAAACAAGACAGTAAGGTGATCTAACAATGAAAGAAAACAACGGTTAGTCATAAAAACCTACTACCAACAGAAAGCGAGACTGCATGCCAATACTACTGTTATGAACACTCTAGACTACTTACTCTACTACCCTAATCCTCGACCTCCATACCTTCTTATAAATGGTCATGTCCTCGGTCAGATGAAGCTGGGCCATGTCTTGCCTAATAACCTCCCCACCTCTTCTTTGGCCTACCTCTACCTCTCTGTAGGCCCTGCAATGTCAATCTCTCACACCTCTTCACCGGGGCGTCTGTACTCCTCACATGACCAAATCACCTAAACCGCGCTTCCCGCATCTTGTCCTCAATAGGGCCACACCCACCTTGTCGCGAATAACCTCATTTCTGATCCTATCTAACCTGGTGTGCCCGCACATTTATCTCAACATCCTCATCTCTGCTACCTTCATCTTCTAGACATGAGCGATCTTGACTGGTCAACACTCAGCTCCATACAACATCGTTAGTCTGACCACCACTCTGTAGAACTTACCCTTAAGTTTCGGTGACACCTTCTTGTCACACAAAACACCAGAAGCGAGTTTCCATTTCATCCATCCCACCCCAATACGATGTGCGACATCTTCATCAATCTCTCCATCCCCCTGAATAATAGACCCAAGGTATTTAAAACTCCCTCTCCTATGACCTGCGAGTCCAGCCTCACCTCCCTTACCCCTCCTTGAGTCTCGCAACTGAACTTACACTCCAAGTATTCTGTCTTGGTCCTGCTCAACTTGAAACCTTTAGATTTCAGGGTCTGCCTCCAAACCTCTAATTGCGCGTTCACACCGTCTCGCGTCTCGTCAATCAATACAATATCATCTGATGGAAGTGAGTGTTAACAAATTTTGCTCAATAGTTTTGCTCCTGAGCTAGATGATTTTTGCCTTTTGGGAATCTTGAAAACTCAAGCATATGTTCTTACTTAAAAGCGAGTAAATGTTTTGTGCCTTAACATGGATAATTCAGTTGTTGCAACTATTTTGTACTCCCTCTGACCTAATTTATGTGTCGTACTTCCCTTTTGGTCCGTCTTAATAAGAATGGCATACTTCCTTATTTTGAAACAATTTAACTTTAACTTCCTATTTTATCCTTAATGAGAGGATTTACAGCCGCACAAATGTCTATGATTTGTTTTAGATCACACGTTTCAAAAGTTCTGATTTATTTCTTAAACTCCGTGCCCAGTAAGATATAATATAGTGCTCATAAATTGGGATGGAGGGAGTATCTAACACAACTTCTTGGATCTATTGTGCTACTTATTCCAATTGGAGCTTTTTTAAGATATAATATAGTTCCGGTGGAACTTAAGTACCTCATCGCATACTATGGATGTCGTAATGTATGTGGTCCAGCAATTTGAAGTTTTCAATACAGAATTCCAAACTAAGTTGTACTTTCTTTAATTCAGGTTCTGCCGTTGGATTTAAGCTGGACAGTCTTTTGAAGCTCACTGATACACGTGCTACGAACAACAAGATGACACTCATGCATTATCTTTGTAAGGTGTGGATGTACCCTCGGTTTCATTTTTGTTGTCTCTAATGGCATATTTATACATTTTCAGTCTTCTTTCCAATTACTATCCTTTGAAAATGGTACCCTTGGATCATGCTTTCATCAAAATCACCTCATGAAAACACTGTTGGTGTTGAATCTTCTCCAATGCGTTGATTTTCCTTTCCACTGGTTGCTATCTGAAAAGCACTATGGAAGAAGATTATTTTCAGAGGACCATAAAGATTGTCTGAAAAGCTGTGATGGCTTACAAGCTGCTCTTAGCAATGGTTGAAAATGTTGTCATTTTAACCCAATCGCTTAGTAAGAAATGCTCCGTGAAAAACCTGGCGCAAGAAGATTGATGAATTTGATGCATATGTGGTCTTCCTATTTTGGTCAAGCTCAGTAGTTATGTATTTGCGAGCGTGTATACATTTTATTGGGCTTGCTATGGAGGTTCTATAGTTGAAAATGATGTCATGCATGTTTTGTTTTAGTTACAAGTATTTTACATGGTAGATGTGGGACTGAAAGAATGAAGTATTACATTGGTGGTCTGTCCTTAGTTTACTTGGTACTGCATAAAAGACCAGAAAGGATAAATTTTATATCTAGCTATATACCTATTCATAGTTAGTACTCCCTCCGTTTCAATTTAGATGATGTAGTTATTCTTTAAAAAAAAGAAGACTTTTGAAACATGTGGTCCTAAAAGCTTAAGGGGCAAAAGCTTTGTGGGGCTATGACACTTTTGTGGCTATAAAAGCTTATCATCAAGGGTAAAGTGGGTAAAATGAAAAGTTTAAAGTTAAATTATTTCCAAATATAGAAATGTGTCATTCTTTCTAGAATGGACTAATAATGAAAGTGTGTCATTTGAATTGAAACAGAGGGAGTAATAAGTTTACAGAATGGCATCTCTTGGAAACAGAGTTAAGTAGTTTACTGTCTGGGCGCAAGGAATATGAAGGGGTTAAATAAATCCAACTTTTCAAACGACAGCCTCTTTTTGGTTCAAGATGCGTCTCACCACGGTCTGCATTTGATTTGGTATCTTCTTTCCAGAAATGAAAAGTACGTCCTGTTATGGAGCCTGGATGTAATAAAACCATTGATGTGATATAGGGACTTCTGTATCAGGGATTATGAATGGTATTTGCACATATGTATACCTTATTGGTTCATAATAATAAAAGCAGCATTGCATCATTCACTGAAGTAACTTACCATGCTGAAAAGGCGTGCTCTTTAGGTAGCTCCCCTGTGTGAAGCCAATGAAAGAAATGTGTATTCGAAGTGCCGAAGCAGGTTATCTGTGGTCCATTTTTCTTCAGTAGGAGCACCTTTGATTTGGCCTTTTTATTTAAGAAACATATATTTATTATGATGGCCTGTTTGAGGTATCTGTGTTCTTTATCAAGTAGGTGCAGGTCCATCCATTTACTTTTCGCCATATCTGCCTTTTGTTTTGATATCTAAGGATATAAATAGGCGATAACAGATAATAAATGAATTTAACTCTTTTCTGCTGAATGAAATTATCAGGTAAACTAAAAAACGATTCTGATATCACTGTATTCCGGCACGTAAGTGCTCAAGTGTGATCCTTACCCCAAAAAATAAAAAGTGCTCAAGTGTGATCAAACTTTCTATAGAAGCTCTTCTTGAGATGTATATTTTGGAAATATGAACCTCAAACTATACCTTTACGATCCTTGGCTATCATCTGATAGTTAGCTGAGTCTTGCCGAAGCTCTATAGTTTTAGGCATTATTTGGTGCAAGAGTGATTATGTATCACAATATTGTCAAAAAGTTTTCAAATTAAGGCACACTACTTAAAAGGTTACTCCTCTTCTCTTATACATTGGTTATAGACAATCTTTTGTTTGTAAAGAAGGGTTTAACATTGCCATTCCTACTATTCTTAGTTTTATTCACTTGTATGAGATGCCTCTTTTTTTAGTTGTCTGGACATTTCTGTCACGAGAAGTTTTTTCTTTTTTCTTTACTTATTTGTTCATCTACTGGGTCGTTGTTGTTGTTGTTGTTGTTGTTGTTGTATTTGTTCATCTACTTGAGAATACTATTCCATTTGATAAAGGCCTCCTTAAATCCGTCTGCCTGAATTCAGGTGCGGTTATGACCATCTCAGGTAGTGTGGTGTTAGTAATTTTTCTCTTTCTCAGGTTCTTGCTGCCAAGTCACCAGCACTTTTAAACTTTCATGTAGATCTTGTAAGCCTGGAAGCTGCATCAAAGGTTACTGTCTTATCTCTTTATGATGATATATCCTTGAATTTATCAAGGTTGGTTAGAAATCCGTTTCTCCTTGCAGATACAATTGAAGTCTTTGGCTGAAGAAATGCAAGCAATCATCAAGGGTTTGGAAAAAGTTAAAAAGGAACTGGAGGCATCTGAGACTGATGGCCCTGTGTCTGAAATTTTTTGTAAGGTATTATGATGGTTGTATTTTGTTTTTGATCAAAATGGTGGTCATATTTCTTTTAAACTATGTCTTAGTTTTATTTGCTTATGTATGCAACTATACATGGTGTTAGGATGTGTAGAGCACTCCTTTGTTAATCAGGTTAAGCTATTACTTCTAGCTTGAACAGCACTTCTAGGACTTCAAATATCCTCCTATTGTCTTGTGAGATTTAAGAATTTAATGAAAAAGATCCATTTAGTCTTTTATCAAACTGTTGTATCTTATGTTTTCCCCCGAGTTTTAATATCTCCATTTGGTATTTGACTATTTCTTGATCTGATGGATAGATTGTGAATCAAGATATATTTTAACTTCATTACGGCGTAAAGCTGCCACTGTAAAATTCCACATACCTGTTGATGAAGAGAGCCTGAATTCCTCTGTCATCTCTTCTATAACTCTGGAAATTGGATGACTTTGTTTTACTGTTTGTCTCGTGTCTTTCCTTTATTTTTTTTATTCATTTAACAAAAGGGTTGAGGGAACAGCATACATGGTTTTGTTTTTATTCATTTAACTCTGGAGCATGCTATTATCATTATTAGAAAACTAAGTGCACTACCTCACCTTCCCCAAAGAAAAGGTGGAAAAAAGAAAATCTTTTGGTCCTTACAACTTTGTTCTTTTGTCCTGCAAATCAGACCTTAAAGGAATTCGTTGGTGTGGCTGAAGTAGAGGTTGGTTCTGTCAAGGAGTTATATTCTGTTGCGGTAATTTCCTTTGCATTTTATTATCGCTTTGCTATATCATACTGCAGAGTCATCTTCCTATATGTCTACATAATGTTTAATTGTCATAACTGATGCACAGGGCAGAAATGCTGATGCAATTGCACTATATTTCGGCGAGGATCCTGCCCGCTGTCCGTTTGAGCAAGGTAACATATGTACAATATATTTTTAATCCTTTCCTTGACTCCGTGCTGGAAAAATTGAGCGGATGAAAGTTGTCCCCTTCAAGAGTTTTGAACTATACTTTGTTTCATTAATGTCCTTCACATTTACAATTCTAACTACAAGATATGATTAAGTATGTTAAAGTTAATTCAGTGTTATTTCTCTTGGACATAGAGACTGCTCCATGATTTTATGGAAAGTTATGACTGCCTTTATTTAGCTCTTTGTTAGAGCTGGAGTTTTAATCAGTATGCTAATTTATGAGATTGGTTGATCGAACATGATCCAATGAAGCTATGCATCTTGTATGTGGGGATTTAAGTATTTCATTTGGTTCAATGTGATGAATAGCTGCCAATAACACCCAGCAGTTTAACCTGCCTGACCTCTGACGAGTTGGTACTTACTGGATGGAATTTACTCAACTTTTATTTTGTTATGATTGATCTTGATTTAATAGTTACACCAATTGTAATTTTGATAGTGAACTAAAAATGTCGGTACTCTATTAATGTTTTTTTATATTTTTCACTGCTCCGATGTCAGGTAATTTTTTGATATATCATGTGGAGGCTTGCAGTAATCAGCCTTGATCATTTGGTGGTTTAAGACTTATTTCCAGCATATGAATAAGCATGAAGCACCTCTTTTTTATTTTATGTTGATGATTACTCAAGAACTTGTATATATTACTGCATTTTACCTCAATGAGATGCATTTGATGGATCTGTGACCTTTGCTTCTTTCATGTTTCCCTGTTCTCATTTGTATTCTTTTGCCTTTGATGGCTCTGGATTTTCGGCTGCTAACCTTTTCCTCTTTTTTCTTTGGTTCATCTGTTTGACAATCTGTACAGTCACTGCAACCCTCTTAAATTTTGTGAGACTGTTCCGCAAAGCCCACGAAGAAAACTTGAAGCAGGCTGAATTAGAAAGGAAGAAAGCTCAGAAGGAGGCTGAAATGGAGAATGCCAAAGGAGTTAATTTAACAAAGAAGGGTATCAAGTGAATGGGAACGATTTCATTGTTTCAGTGAATATTGGGTGTCGAACAATCCATGCCTGTTGGTTAACCATGTTAACTGAGGATATCTTCCAAAGACAGACCAAAAGCCTCCAAAATTAATGCAAGTGCTGTGGCATTCTTTGGGTTCAAGAAAGAATATTGAGGCTTGTGAACCCCTGGAAGTGCAGTGAAATGCTTTGCAGATAGGAAGCTGAACCCGACACATCATTGTCGGAGCTCTTGGATGATGCAAGCAGCCTGTTGCTCCCTAAATCAATCCCCTTGATTTTATTATTGGCAGGATTGCTATCCATCTGGAGAGATTTGCTACATGATTAAGCAGATGCTGCAATCAAGACCACGGATTTGGATATGCAATTATGGAGCGAACATGATGGACTCGGTGGCACAAAAAATGTAGTTGCCACAATGACAACGTTCACCATTGACCGCCATTACGCCATGTCAACTGTAAATTAAAAGTGTTACGTCAGCTTGTATAAAGCCTAGCCAGTGTATCTAGATTCAAAGTTTGATTCTTTTCATTGTAACATAGAAAAATGGGTTCCCTGCTGTATCAGTTTTTGATGGGAACCTACCACGAAATTGATTGTACAGAAAGCATAGGAGAAGATAGGGATAGGTTCTTTAGCAATAGTAATGTATCAAATATCACTATGCAGGCTGTAGGATTAGCTTCCCCTCTTTCCAAGATTCAAGTTTTGGAAAATGTTCTAATATCTTCATTCATTAATGGCAGAGAAGTCTGCATTTCCTTATTCCTCTTGGTTATCTGAGGTCTTGACTTTTTTTTTTTTGTGCTCAAGCAGCTTATCTAATCCAAGATTTCTTAGCTTCACTTACTTGGTTTAAGGAGCTTGGATTAACGAGTTTAAACCAATTTAAGGGATCCATTGCAAGCTTAAGGCTCTGTAGGGAAGTTGATTATCAGTAAAAAGTGCCTTGTCGATGGAGGGGGATACAGGTTCCAATATCAAAAAGGCGAATTTAAGACGAAAGATGTCCATCTTTGATGTTTTTAATAGTTGTTCTTTGAAAAGCATTTTCTATTTTATTCTTTACATAGGGGGCTCTATGGAAAATCACTAGTTATTGTTTACCAGTAAGAATAATGGGTGTCGAATAGGGAACGAATTTTGTCAAATGGGATGTGCATTTTAACACCCCTTCAATCTGGGGCAATCGTCCCATCGGCGACATTTGATGAATTCACACGATATGGAGAGAATTTTGGAGCGTCAAAACATGGATCGACTGTATTGGAAGGGCTCCGCCCAGAATTATATCAGTAACGTTATCAAACTATTTTTCATATCCTTAAAATCACCTAATTACATGTAATTTTTCAAAAAATATAACTGCTAGCTAATTTTGTGACACTGTTGATACAACGGATAAAATTCCTGTGATCATAATGCGAAGTTAACTCTCAAATCAAGAACATGAGCTCACGAGGTGCATTTTCATAAGTTGAGTGGAGTTAGGAGGAGGTTTAGTTACGGTAGCAACAAGTGTACTTTGGTATGAGCTTTATGGGGAAAGTTGACCTCATATGTAACAAGGTTTAGGTGACTGACTTTTAGTCTTTTGTTAATAGTGTAAAGAAATAATAGATTAGATTAAATTCCATAGTAAAAGTTTGGAAGAAAGCCACTTTCCCCTTTAACGTAACAAGGAGCATAGCTCCAAACGAAGCAAAGAACGACTAACAAGTAACAACTCTCTCTTCAGTGGGGGAAAAAAACATTTAATGCTCAGCTCCCCATTTTTATACTCTTAACTAACTTCATCTTTATGACTGAATTTCGTGAGATAAAAGGAATCAAGCAAAATAGGCTGCATGCCCAAGTTATTCTGAAGAGGCAGGTCTTTACCCACAAATGACTAACCATAACCTCTTTCCTCTTTGAAGTAGTTAAACTTAAAAGTACCTACTAACATTAATGGGCTCTGGCTTACTCAAGTTAAGGTTAACAACCTAGGTGATAGATTATAACAATTTCATTTTTTGTTTAACAATTTGGTATTTGAATGTTTACCGATTAATTCAGATTCATATCGAGTAGAGGGATAAAGCGTGTTTTACAGAAAGATCCTTTATTTCAAGGCTCAAACGTGGAGGAATTCCATAATAATGGGTATATATTATAACACTACATGTTGGTCAAACCAGTCCTAGAATGCCATTAAGCCTTAACCCAAGTGGTGATCATGGTCTTGTTGTCAAAAAATAGATAAATAAATAAGTCTGGTTTGCCAAAGACCTGTAAGGATCTTCAAACTCCCCAATCTGAAAGAAAAGAAGTTCTTAATACTCCCAAAACTAAATAAATAAAATCGTCCAAGGATTATTAACTGCAAATCCTTCACCATTTGGTCTTTGCTTTTGCTCACTTGGCATCAGCTAATGATGTCCGTGGTCAATTTTGCTAAGTATTCTCTTACAAGTTAAGAAAGTCTTGTCCTACCTTAACCAACTCCCCCCCCCCCCGGCCACCCCACCCCCACCCTCCCAAAAAAAAAAAGAAAAAGAAAAGGAAAAAACCTTGACTAACTTGCACGGCTAGAACTCTTATGTGCAAATGTATAGACATGGCCCTGTATATATGACCAGAGACATAGCTTGACTGCTACGTTGTGCAAAGTGAAACCTCCTTCAACTTTAGGTACAATACAAGCAATCACCTTCAACTTTGCTCAAACAAAAGCTATCTGAATTTTACATTGAGCAACCTTTTTAAAAAAAATGGGATTGTTACACGAATAGCCGACCAAATTTAAGGTTTACTCTACATCAAGAATTGGGGACAAGAAGGGAAAGGGAGACAATAAGAATCGAACCTACACAGTGTGAGATACTCTCATCGGTACACATTGGCAGAGCCAAAAATTTTAATAAGAAGATTCAAAAATTGCAAAAATGTTCGCTTATATCACAGGGATTCTAACAATTCATATATATATGCAAAAAAAAAAAGAGATTCTACTTTTTTACCCTACTTACAAAGTATAATTTTCCGAGATGAGCTCTGACCCTATCGGTACCACTAGACTGTAAGCCTTGCATTAATCAAATTGATTTCAGAAATTCACGTTTTTTTTCTCTTTTCATTGTAAATCCAAATATAAACAGTTTGCAAAGAGTCTTTTCCGGATTTTCTTCTAACTGTATACAGAAAAGCTGCTACATTACATAAAAAGAGAATAAAAAGAGAATATGGGGTTGTAAATCATACATCAATGTATATTCTGCAGATTACAAAAATACATTTTAAATCCCAAGAATTGCTTCATCTCTTCCTCTGATCAAACCATATTTACTCCTGCAGAGAGCAGACCCTTTTTATTATCAGAAAACAGAATCTGCTGAATCACTGAACAACCTTAAAAGAACTCCTCTAATGTCTTTATCTTCAGAACTGTATGTTCATCTCTATCTTGAATCTCAACTTGATATGGCAAAATTCTCCCTTCATCCGTTTTACAACTTCTGTAGAAAACAATGCTGACAATTGTATCAAGAACCAGCAGAATTGAATACATATAGGCAATGAAAATTCCTTCTAAAGCTAAAGAAAAAAGGTCTGTTTTTTCTTGATAATAAGCCCTCACAATTCTGTATTGAAACAAAGCTTCAACTGCAGCCAAAGCCAAACTCACAGGCACAGCTAGTGATAATGCTGTCGCTGTTCTTCCTCTTATTAAAATACAAGATTTGAGAATTGCCATATACCCTCCAATATTTTCTGTTCCTGATATTACTAAAGCCAAGTTGCAAACAATTAAAGTATTGGCAAGAATGATTGAACAAATTACAGCTCCAGTTGCTGAACACAAAAGAATTAATCTTGGAGATGAAAGCCCAAAGCCATAATCAACAAGATTAAAACCAAAGAATAGGACAGTAAAACAAGTTGCATTTGCTGAAATGATGACTAAAGAGTTGCAGAGTTGGGTAAGAAGAAGGGGAAAAAAGGAAGAAAAAAATGAAGGAGTTTGGGCTGGTTTTGAGTAATTGAGAGCTTCAATTACTGAAGCTTTACTGAAAAGAAAAGAGGAAATGGTGAAAGGGAATGCAAGAAAAGATATGGCAATGGTTTGAGAAATCTTGGAATTTATAAGGGTGAAAAATTCAGAAGAAGAAGGGAAACCTGCAGCATCAAAAAGTAAATGCAAACGCTCATAGATTATTGGGAAGAAAGATGAAGAGGGGATGAATGATTGTAGTAAAAGAAATGAGGCTGCAAAAGGGAAGGCAAAAAAGGCTGCTGTTGTTGTGAAGAATTGATAGTTTTGCAGAAAACTAAAGATTGATCTTCTGATGATTTTGGTTGTTCTCTGCATTGGAATAGAGGAGTTGTAATCTTCCATTTTTTTTTGGGTATTTTTTGATGTGAAGATGATTGGCAAAATCAAGAAAATGAGCTATATATATATATATTGATGTTTGTTTCTCTATTTTAATGAGGGAATCTCATTCTTCAATGGTTGTTTGGAAAATGTTTGGAGAGTTGTTTTTTTTGGAAGGAATGGATAGGCCAACAACTAAAAAATAACAAAAACAATAGAGGAGTTTGTAGCAGTGGAGTTTTTTTGCTTTGTTTTTACCAGTGAGTTTGTTGGGATTTGGTTCTGAATTCTCTCTTTGGAATCTCCAAAACCTCTTCTTAGTTATAGTTGGCTTAACTTTGGGTTTAGCAGGACAAATTTCATTTTTGAAGAATTAACCTAACTAGCCCCCTCAAAATCGCTTAAACTAAAAATAGCAAGTAAATGTATAATATATAAAGGCAGAACCATAATTTAAAGATTATGAGTTTTGAATTTGTCACGGAACCCATAACTCGTCTTATTTACTTGGTTCACAATTAAATATTTATATATTTAATGATTTTCCAGTATAACTACAATGTTTAAGCGAAAGTGACTGAGTTTGATCGAACCCGCGCCTAATAGGCTAGCACCTACTCTAATAATATATGTATAATCTATATATAACATATATAATCAGTATATAATTTATATATACCAGTAAAAGAAAATAAACAATAAATCTTACCGGCTATTTTGTAAAGATACCCAATTGTTTCTTCCTTTTTGCACTTTTAGGAGCGTGTAAAGAAGGCATCTTTTGTATTATGTGAAAAAATATTTAAACATCATTAACATTTGAGAACCTTTGCTATATCTAGGCTCTTTTCATGTCTTGCTTGCTAAAGGAAAAGGAAAACTTCTTTTTGTTTGTCTTGGAATTTACTTCAACGTGTAGGAACATCAATTGTTTATTTAGGAATTATTTGTGTAAAGTGGGGCATTTATTAGTTCCTTTTTATAGTTTACTATTTTTCTTTTTTTTTTTCTATTTCTGAAAACACCATCATATCAGTGGGATTGTGCCAAAAAGGAATTTCTTTTAGGGGATCCCTTAAAATTGACACGATATTAATATAAATGTTAAAATGAGAAAAAACTTTTCCAACTATACAATTGTAAAACAAGGTAACTCTGAAACCTGTTTCTTTTCATACAGATTTATTAGTGAAAATTGTTATTAAAAGCATATTCCTTTGAAGTTTCTTTTTATCACTGTCTATAGACAATAGCGTACTACTGTGTAGTCATATTTTAAAATTGGTTATTTTTTCATACTTGGAAGACCCTCAACCACGTAAAAAAGATATATTTGGCAGCCTTTATTATAAGAGTGTTTGTCTAATAATATATTTTTTAAATGTCTTACTTAATTATCATTATACTAATTTGAGCAGTAAGCGTGAATTTCAAAAAATAATAATAAGTGCTTCTTATCTTTTAACAAATCGAATATTTTGAAACAACTTGTGCATCAATGTCTGCATATATTTCCTTATATTTCATGAAGGAATTCTCATTTCATATAAAGGATTTAATTTGTCAGGATAATTAAAAATCAGTATGGTTGACTTTTTTAACAAATTATATGCAGTAGAATAATGTGTTGATGTATGATGAGTAATAGATGACATAAACAGGAGGGATAGCTGGCAAAGTCGTTAATCTCATTTTGGATTTACAAAATGGCAAATATATATGCAGTTTGTTTGCTACCTTTGGTTGTCATTGCTTGCTCATCACCTAATTTTACACAGTCAGCTGAGCATGAAACTTGTGCTCTTTCTTGGACTGAACGAACAGAGAACGTAAGTGAAAAACTTAACCAAAGCAAGAGGTGGCAATTAGCAATATCTGTCAAAATAGACAAATTTATGTGTGCTTTTCTTTTGTCATATATATATATTTGGTGGTCATTCATATCCTTCATGATACTTGCTCAATGCTCATCTTCTTATGATGTTTTTCATGACCGTGGTTTCTTGGCCTTTTCCTCAACTAGAAGTCTCTATAACCCAAATCATTATAGCCAAATTTTGAGGTGAAGATGTTATACTCTTGTGCTTAGTCTATTTTAAAGATTTTTGGTGTGATGAGTTAGAAGAATTATTTAAAAATATCGTATCTACATAAAGTGTAGTTTGATTGCTCGAGAACGAGCAACGTTTAAGTGTGGGGTAGTGATGTTTGGCTGTAATGATATATTTTTAGTGCATTACTTACCATACATTTAGGAGCTTTAATGCTGAACTACACTATATTTGTGCTTAATTGAGTTATTTTATGTGTAGATACATTGGATATGATATTGTGAGCAAAGTGAATATTTTGGAAGTATATTATATATATTTACATGAATGCATGCATTTGTCGGACACAAGGATCAAAGAATGAAGGCATCACTCAAAATCAACAAGCTTCGAGAGACAGTTAGGCAAAGCAAGTCAAAAATGTAAATGAAGCAATAGTCGGGCGAAGCGAGCTTTGTGGCTCGCTATAGAGCAAGGCGAGGCGAGCATTGTAGCTCGCGTTAGAGCATGCGGCGCGAGGCTTACCACGAGAGGATGCGCGCGACAGAGCTTGCGAGGCACAGTGTATAGCGAGGTGGAGCGCGCTGTAGAGCTCGAGGTATTGGTTTTGGACTTGGTTATTTCGTCTAGGTCTTTTTCCTATACATATAAATAGTCATTAAAAATTATTTTTAGAGGATTTTTGGCGACCAGAGGCAAGAATAGCACATGGAACAACTTTTGGGGGAAAGAATCATCGAGTTCTTCATTCCTTTATTTTTTCTTTTTAATTTGTTTATGCAAATTACTTGGAAAATTGTTACTATGAATATGAGTAGCTAAACTTCTAATCTAGGGTTTTGATGGAACCTATTGGAGGATGATTTTCCTATTACATTTAATATAGATTTGCCTTAGCTTTTTCTCTATTTGTTCAACTACGTTTACATTATGGTTGATTGAAGAGCTCTCAATCGACTATGCCTATTTAGTGTGTATTGCTTGAAAGAGAATGAATATTTAGATAGTTGTTGAATAACATCACTCCTAACGTATGTGAGGGATCAATACGGAGGGTTTAAAGGTGGGATTAGGAATAATGAAACCTTGGTGTGATCCTAGTGAGCAGTAAACTAGTACTAGCTAGCGCAGTTCGGAAAAATATGTCTAGTAAATTGTGATAGTTACTCGGAAGAGAATTACGACACTCAAAGTACTCACGATCGGTAGAGAATACCTAGACAAATTTATAGGAAATATAGCGGGGAGGATTTCGACAATAGGGAAAATCATAATCTTAGACTGTTTCAAATCTTGTCTACAACCTGTCCTTCTTTAGTTATCAATTACTGCATTTTCATTGCTTGGTTTTTAGTTAGTAAATATCCAATTCATTATTTAATATTTCTGAAGGTTGATTACTTGAATTCGTATGAGTCTAGTGGCTGTAATTAGTAGGTTAATTCCATGTGGGATTCGACTCCGGACTTGTTAACCGAATTATATTTGCAATGACCGCTAGACCTCTTAGGAGGCATAAATGGCGTGATCAAATTTTGGCGCCGTTGCCGAGGAATTAACGGTGTTATTAATTGCAGCTAAAAGAAGTGCTAGAATTCTTAATTTAGTCAATTTTTCTTCATTTCAAACTAATTATATTGAAATTCTAACGTTTGTAGTGTTGGGTGTTACAGGTGCATGCCTAGAAACTCCTCAAGAACTGGTGAATTGTTCGAAGCATTATCAGATCCTGAGAAAGTTTTCAAGGCATTAAATCGTGCAAACAAGAAGGACAAATGACAACAGAACTCAACTGCACGAATCGAACAAGATATGGGTGACGTCATAGACGACCAAAATAACCGGAACAATGTGAACGACCCGAACAATCGGGGTGTGGCACCCCTTGTACCAGAAGCGGCCTTGTATGATTGGGCACAACCCACCGCTGAAAATCTGGCAACCGTAATTGCAGTCCCTCAGATACAAGCGGAATCATTTCAAATCACAAATAACATGCTACACCTGCTGCAGAACAAGGGACTGTTCTCAGGGTCGTACATTGAAGACCCACAACAGTATTTGAAAAACTTTTTGTCAATTTGTGTCACTCAAAGGCAGCTGAATGTGATACCTGAAGCAATCAGACTGTTATTGTTTCTATTCTCAGTGACTGGAGAAGCTCAAACTTGGCTCAATTCGATCCCCATAAATTCCATCACCACATGGGAGGAATTGGTCAAGCAGTTCTTGAACAAGTTCTACCCGCCAAATAAGATTGCCAAGCAAGTTGATGAGATATTGAGCTTCAGGAAGAAACCAGCAGAAACATTGCAAGAAATGTGGGAGAGGTTCAAAGGTATGTTGGTTAAGTGTCCACACCATGGCATTCCAGATCAGATGTTGGAATAAAGGTTCTACATGGGATTGGCTGACAGCTTGAAGGCCAACGTTGATACTTCAGCAGGAGGAGCATTTTTGAGCAAATCATTTAGAGAGTATAAAGTACTGCTAGACAAAATGGCTCAAAATTCAGGATGGATGACAAGAGACACTACAATCACCCATGTAGTTCACTCAGTGGCTTTGGACCCAAACAATTCCATAGCAGAGAATATGGCCACTTTGATGAAGCAAATGAGTATCCTCACCAAGAAGATTGACGAATCAGGCCAGAAGCAGGTACACATAGTTGACACAACTAATGGAGTCTTATGTACACCATGTATTAACCAACCATATGTATGCTCATGGAGTAGTGAAAGCGACAACCAGAACTATCAAGAAAATATGAACTATGTGGCCAACTATGGAGGACAGAATTGGGGACAACAGAATCAGCAGTATAGACCAGCACAACAACGGTACAACAATAGTAACAATCCTGGAGCTATGCGACCACAGGGACAAGTTGTGCCTTACCAAAGGCAACAGGGATATAATCAGCAAAATCAGCAGCTAGCTTATCAATAGCCTCAACAACAACAGATAGTGAGACAAGATGATGGATTATTTGAAATTAAAGGAATGTTGCAACAACTGATTGGGTCCAATGAAAAAATGCAAGAGAAAGTGGAAGCACATGACTCAGAGATAAAAGGCATTGAGATTCAATTAGGGCAGATATCTATGGCTCTGAATAATCGTCCCCAAGGGACGTTACCTGCAAACACACATGTCAATCCAAAAGAGCAGGGCCTGAAGCAGCTTATGGCGGTGAGTCTGGGTCGATCTTCAGTCCTTTATTGTCATGTCTCGAGCTTGGCTTACCATGTCGGAGGCTAGGATGCACCACGAGCTCGATTTCAACAGTATACATATCTACTATTTGTTTCAATTTGAGTGAATCTTTATACATAAATTTATATATTACGTAAAAAAATACTGGGTTCAGATGAACCAGTACGACAAGGCTACATTCGCCTCCAGGGGCGTTTCCAATGAATAAGGTATGAGTTTATCTGAACGCATAACTTTCGGCTTAGTCCATGTATATGTATTAAAAAATTAACTAAATATTTACAAATAATAAATTTTGAACCCTATAAATTAGACAGAAATGATAGAATTACAAATTTGAACCCATAAAATTCAAATCCTAACTCACGTTCGCCTTTGAGTATAGTGACAAAGGGTTCAAAGGTCACTTTTAGATCCCAGATTTGAATACCAAGTGACATTGACATTGATAAGTTCTTGGCTCCGCTACTAAGGTTACTAATATATTTTCTTGGTTGGCCATATAGAAGAGTTGATCAAGTCGAGATCAGCAGATGTGTGAGCTGCCATCAATTTCCTAACTGAAAACCGAAAAATAAAATTAATCAAGCGTGCAGACTTCTGAAATAATATAGAGAGAATTAAGTGAAAAAAAGGGGACCAGTAGTAAGTGGGCCTGGAGCGAAGGAAGAAAAGAAATTGTAGTAAAATGATGATTTAACATAAGCAGCCATCATTATGAAGTTGGTGCCAAGTCTCTTCTAACCTAAAACACTTGAACGTTGGTTGATTATAAGATTAGTTGAGGGTCCATTTTCCATCCTTGTTGTTTAGGTTGCAAGAAATATGCACAGACTTGCATCTATTGATATTCTTTTTATTTTTTTCGGTTTCCCATCCAGTATCAGTATCCGTTTTAGTACCCGATTCACACGACAAAGTTTCATCTTGGAGTAAAGCGCTCCCTACCAAAAGTAATTTCTTATATAAGAGACATTTGATTAAAAATGGATGAATAGTTACCGCTACGCTACAACCTTTATTGGTGCATCTATTGGTATTCAGTCATTGTACCTATGATTTTTCTCCTAACTGACATTGATCTTAGTTCTCACTCACTCCCATATTAGTCCATAGTTTAATCAATTCATATTGCATGTTAACTAATCCTTATATAATTAAATGATGCTGCTAACCAACATAAGTAGTTCTTAATCCACTTAGCTTTGAGGTTTAGATTTGGTAGCACCAGTACATATTGTATTCTCTTGGTGTGTAGTCAACGTAATAATTCTTTTAGAAAAATAAGCAAAGCTAATTTAACCTTTAAACTAATCCAGATTGGTAATATTCCAACTTACAACAACTTATTTATTTTCATACCTTGTGCATTCGTTTTATTGTTTTAAAACGGTCCAAGGTCTTGGAAGATATCTAATTCTTCTTTTAATTTCTACGCTTTTTAACTATTATTATATTATCAAATATAGCTAAAGTGATTGCTTTTTGAGTAAGTACTGGATTAGACTAATTAATGGAAGTTAATGAGAATAGGTGGACAGCCACATGGCTGTAATAGTGTAATGCAATGATCAAATCTATGTTTAACTTTATACGAAAAGGTTAGCAAGGGAAAACTTAGCTATAATCAAACCAAAAAAAAAAAAGTATACTAACAATTGTGTTTGCATTTGAAGTTTACTCTGATAGAATTATACGTAGCTAAAAATATATTCAAACTTTGTGTTTATACCAAATAAACGAATGCAAAGTATGTGTAATCTTTTATACATGCATTTAGCTCTTAACCATGTTTAATTGATACATGTATGTTAACTTGAGTTTTTAACTTGTTTAGTTTGATATAAACACACCGTATGGGTAAGTATTTATTAAATTTGCATATGGCAAAATTAAAATAGCTACTTAAGTAGTTAATTACGTGCCTTTAAACCTTATCAAAGTGTCAAAATATTCTGATGGCACTAATATATTAGAGCTTCTTTAAAAGAGTTGGGTGGGGTTGTCGGTGATTATGGATTTAAGGATTTCACAATTGGAAAACACCTAAGTTTAGTTCGTATGACTTTTCTCTCCTCTCCGTAATCTTTTCCCTTTTATATTTTAATGGAAAAAACAAATCGCTGTTGCATTACTTCACTATGTTTTAAATGACTCTTCTTTATTTTGAAATTTCAAATATATAAATTTTGTTAAAGGACATGATAAAAGTTATCATCCATCAAGCTTGTTTCTATTAATGTGGGTGTAGAAATAAAAGAGAAAAAAAATAAACTGGCACGCTAAATCAAGTGAATATAACTAGCTAACCAAAAAAAAGTAGTAATATAACTTTTCTTAATATGTTAATGAAAATTAATAAGATCAATATAGTATTTGTTTGTTTGACCTAAGACTTTTTTTAAAATGTTTAATTATTGTTGGTTCAATATTATAACATATTTCCATTAAGACGGTAGAGTGTTTCTGTGTGTATATATTAAGCATCAACCTTATCTAATTCTAATAAGAAATATGTAGGCCATCAATTATTTTGATTGGTTCAAATAGAAAATATGAAAAGGGATGAGCACATAAATTAGTTTGTAGATGGATATTGAATAGAAGCTATTATTATACAATAGAATATGATAGGTTAGCTCCTTCCTCTTTGTCTTCTCAATAATGTTTGTGCTATATAATTTGAACTTTGAAACCTGTATCCATTTTGATATGAATGACAAATCTTGCTTATGATATATCCAAACAACTATCAAAAAGGACGTTTCATTTTATATGATTCCATCACTCGCATACTCGCTTTTTTAGTCTATACTAATATTGTATTTTAATATCATTTTCATATTATTTTTTCAATGTTTTATTAGGTAGGGGATCAAAGAAAAAGAAATCGAGAAGGGAGTTTGAGAATTAAACTCAATCACGCTGGTGTCACTAGTCGGTAAGCCTTTTTGATAATACTTATATAAGTTAAACGTTACGCAATGTATCATAAACAAGTTTTACTATGTGATGATAATACTTTTGACACTAAAGTTGTCACCTTAATGGGGAAGGTCGATCAACTTCAGACCAAAAAGAGCTAAGTTGCTTAAAATGGATCATTTTCGTATATATATTTATTTTTTGGGGCCACCATTGAAAGAAATTATATTCACATCGCACAAAATTTTACAAAGTGTACCCGTTTGGATCTGAAATAGTTCAATCTCTTTAATGCAACTTCAAAAATCAAATCTGAAATTCTTTTATCTTTTAAATGTAACCTGAGAAATTCGAATCTTAAGTAGTTTAATTTTTTCGATGCAATTTCAGATTTCAAATCTTAAGTTCAGAAATATAAACTTGTTCTTCGAATTTCAACAATCTAAAGCAAGACTCAACACCCAAATCTACTCCGGATTAGCTCAAATCTGAAACATAACTTTCAAATATCATAAAGAACAAACCCTAATCATCAAATTGTCAAAACAAATAACAATTTTAACAAACCCATTTGCAACTAAGAAGAAGAAGAAATCCTAAGCACAAAAAAGAAGTAACACCCAAGAAGAAGACATACAAAAGTGTATGTATTTGAAGTTATTCAAAAGTTGGATATCAGTTAATGTTTTTTTTCTAAAAAGTGAGTACAAATTCAATGGGTGGTGCAAAATTGGCTGCCACATAAATATTTACTTAAACTCAATTATGTCGATATCACTAGTTTGTAAGCCTTTTTGATAATACTTATAAAAGTCAACTTACGCAATATATCATAGACAAGCTTTACTTTGTGGTGATAATACTTTTGACACTAAATTTGTCACCTTTAAGGTGGGAAAAGTTGGTCAACTTCAGACCCAAAAAAAAAGCTAAGTTGCTTAAAATGGGCACAGATGCTAAGGAGTACAACAGTTGGATCTGTATATGAACTGGCCCGTAGAATTAGGCCTAAATTGTTCAGACGAATTAGGCCCAAAACTATTTGAGATGGACAACCTTGTAATGGGCCTCATTGAGGAATTGGGCTAATTTTGTCGTTTTCGATACAAAGTGGAAAGATGTAACGAATTTGTCCATATCCCGTTACGTATTGCTGAGTCAGATTCTAAACCCGAGAACTTACAAAGCTCCAATCACTTTCCTTCACTGTCTGAAAATTCTCCGCCCTCTTTTTTTCCTCTCTTTCCCGAGGAAAATTCGCGCATGCACTGTCAGAAATTCAATCCATTCACTTTCTAGGTATTTTTTCTAACTCTTTTACTTCCATTTTCTGCTAGTTATCATATTTGCAAAATTCTTGGTTTTGTGATTAATTTTGTCATAAGTTGAGCAAAATCGTGCTGTGAATCAGTAATTACAGTTTCTGAGTTGAACTTGATCTGGCTGTTAATCTTTTTTCTTGATCATTGATTACGGAATCCTCAAGTTGATAACTTCTCTAGCGGAGCTTTCGAAGTTTCTGTTATTGGATTACATGTTCAATTAAAATCTGCTTTCTTTGATGCTCAGTTGACCTAACTTTATAATGTGATAATTTAAGTTGTTAACTTTAGTTAATCTGCTGTATGTACAAACTATGCTTTGAGAAGAGAATGGATTTACTCTGTGATTCAAAACCCTGATGCTATGAATAGCTAGATATCCAACTGTTTTGACTAAATTGCTAGAGGTGTCAATCATGTGTGTTATAGGCAAATGAGTAGCAGAGGTGGTGGAACTACAGATACTCCTTTTCTAAGGAACTACAGGCTTGGTAAAACTCTTGGCCATGGATCCTTTGGTAAAGTTAAAATTGCTGAGCATTTGCTGACTGGGCACAAAGTGGCTATCAAAATCCTTAACCGTCGAAAAATGAAGACTCCCGACATGGAGGAAAAATGTATGAAGCTCATGCCTGGGGTATCTTTATGTTATCAATAGATGTGGTTTCTGTTTGTTCTTTTTCTTTACACCATGAACATATTTTCGTGAAGTTCAAAACAAGTTTAACTGAGTCACGTCTTGGTTTAGTTCATTTGATATTAAGAAGGTCATTCGCGGGACATCTAAATTTTCTATCTTTGTGCAGTGAGAAGAGAAATAAAAATATGTAGATTATTTGTGCATCCACATGTCATACGACTCTACGAAGTGATAGAGACACCATCGGATATATATGTCGTGATGGAGTATGTTAAGTCTGGTGAACTCTTTGATTATATTGTAGAAAAGGGCAGGTTACAGGAAGATGAAGCTCGCCATTTTTTCCAGCAGGTAGAGTTGATCTTTTATCTTGGTCTTTTTGATGGTGCAAAATGGCAGTCTTAACTGTGGGTTTAGGTCTTACGATATGAATGTAGTTTCTCTTTTTCACTGAAATCATAATTGGTTGGTTGTTTCAATGGGGACAGATTATTGCTGGTGTAGAATACTGCCATAGGAATAGGGTGGTTCATCGGGACCTTAAGCCTGAGAATCTGCTTTTGGATGCAAGACACAATGTAAAGATAGCAGATTTTGGCTTGAGCAACATTATGCGAGATGGCCATTTTCTGAAGACAAGTTGTGGAAGTCCAAATTATGCAGCCCCTGAGGTGGAAACATGTACAATTTTGTTATCTTTAAGACAACCATTTCTCTTTTTAGCTGGAAGGCTGAAGTCATCGACAACATTTATTTGCAGGTTGTCTCTGGGAAACTTTATGCTGGTCCCGAGGTAGATGTTTGGAGTTGTGGCGTTATCTTATATGCTCTTCTTTGTGGTACACTTCCTTTTGATGATGAGAATATTCCTAACCTTTTCAAGAAAATAAAGGTACACCCATTGTTCTACTTTTCTGTCTGGTTTCCCTAGATTTTCCGAGCTTTTACAGTTGAAGTAGTGGTTCTTTACATGGTTGACACTGTGTCATTCAGAGTGGACTCTACACCCTTCCTAGTCATCTATCAGCTGGAGCTAGGGATTTGATACCAAGGATGCTAATTGTTGACCCTATGAAGCGGATAACCATGACTGATATTCGTCAGCACCAGTGGTTCAAAATTCATCTTCCTCGGTATTTGGCCGTCCCTCCACCTGATGCTATGCAACATCTCAAAAAGGTAAATATGACATTACTTTGGTAAGAACAAAATTTATCTTGTATGTTGCTGAAAGGGTTCCAATTGATTTTACCCCTTTTTTGTCGACTGCTACCTCAAATCCAACTTAATATGCTGCTGCATATCTGGTAACTTATACTGGACGCTGGTTTTTGTGGTTTCTCCACTTGTTACTCCTGTATTAATTCAAGTGGTAACATAAAAGAATCATCAAGTATAATTGACATCGAAACATTGTTATCAATCTTCACTTCCTTTTACGACATTAGGGAAAACTTATGTATCTTGCTGCCATTTCAGAGGATTTTGTTTGACTAGATATGTCAAAAGCTTATCACATCTATCCTATATATCTCATTCCTCATGCATATTATTATTTGTTTGTTAAATACTTGAGGTATGCAATTCTTTCTCTTTACCTATTCCTGCTGATACTGTAAGCTGTCTTGCTTTCAACTCTGCAGCTTGACGAAGAAATTCTCCAGCAAGTAATGAGGATGGGTTTTGATAGAGACCAGTTGCTTGAATCTTTGCAAAAGAGAATACAAGACGATGTATGTTGCTTCTTACATCATTACCTGCGACTCTGTCTCTTGGCATGCTACTTTTTTCTTCTTGTAGTTTTTCTCCATTGCACATGCTTACTAAGGGTATTGGAAAAGGGAAAAAATCTAGCAATTGTAGATATACTTGAATTTTACATTTCTACCTAGAAATTGAGGCTTTTCAATGTTGCTTATCCTGGGGGGGGGGGGGGTGTATGCACATGATTCTACTTAAGTTTGGGCTTACATTCAATCAAATTGATTGCAAAGGAATGAAATGTAGTCAACCTTTTAATTATTTCAGCTTGTTTATACCTTATGTGTCTATCTCAGGCTACTGTTGCATACTATCTGGTGTACGACAACCGTTCCTTGGCTTCCAGTGGCTATCTAGCAGCTGAGTTTCAGGAATCTATGGTATGCTCTCTCTTATTTTAAAGTCATTATTTTTCATAGCATAAATTTTTTGGGCTGTTATTTATTACCCTTTCTGTCAAAAAGAGTATGTGAACTGCAGAACCGTTGTGCTGTTGTGTGATCGTCATGAACTATTCTGCCTACTGTTACTGTGTCACTTCATATAGGAAAATTTTAATTTGTGAAAATCCCATCACATGGAGATACTCCGACTATAGACATGCTGCTCTCCTTTTGCACAAATTAGGATGAAGAGATGCTACTAAGTTCTGCAGTTCTCCAACTATATCCTAATTCTGATTCACCTAGCGCTTTCTGTATTATCTCTGAATTTCTTACTGATCGTATCAGAGTCTAAAAGCAGTGTTACAACTCAGAACTAGCGCATTTTCTAACCTCTTTTGTGTTTGGAGTTGGGGGAAGAGGTAGCAGTTCCCCTGATATTTGCTTGATTGAATCCGTTGGCTTTCTAGAATATGAAGGTGCAAAGCATGTCAAGAGTCATATTCTTTTGCATATGACTAATTTCAAGATCCACTACTATGGTTCACATTGTCACTCTTATTACAAGTTTGAGAATACTGGTAGTTCAGTTCTGGCTTTACACAATATTCCCCTCGTAACTTTCCTGTCTATTCCCTAAGTTTAGAGCTATTCTTCTTCAAATGTCACTTAACTATTTACTATAGCCTCAAGTATTCCACACTCGTTAGGTTGACCTTGATATTTATTTTCTTGTGTTTCTTTAGGATGGTTATTCCCCAGGATTGTTTCCAAATCTTGATCTACAGCTGTCCACTGGAAATGGAATTTCTCAAGAAGCGAATTTGAGACACCCATTTTCCAAAGAAAAAAAATGGCTAGTTGGACTTCAGGTTAGTTGTCTTGCAGTATATGTAGTGGAAAGATTGTATGAATTTCCTCAATTTCATTGTTTATTACTTTGTCAGTCTCCAGCAAATCCACGGGAGATCATGAATCAGGTTCTTGGGACTCTGCAAGAACTAAATGTTCGATGGAAAAAAATTGGGCACTATAATATGAAGTGTTTATGGTGTCACGATCTTGATTTTCATAGCATGGCCAGCAATCATATGAATGATGATCATTTAATTAGCAATGCGACTGCCCTAAGTACACATTTACAGCCACAAACAGCTGTGAAGTTTGAAATGCAGGTATAATCATCTCTTTGTTTCATAATCTTTTGCTCTCAACATAGTGGTTTTTTTCATAAATTTGATAACTGATGCATAAATTTGGACAGCAGTTTTTGTTTAAGATTGTCAGTTCTAATCTATCGTCTATGACCTAGCATCTAGTATTCAGTTACATCGATCGCTGAATCATGTTCACCAAAAAAAGAGAAAAAAGAAAAATCCATTCAAATAGGGAATACCAGTGATTCTACTAGTAGGAGCTTTTTTAGTTTTGTTCTATTTGAATCTCCCTAATGTGGATTTGGGTAAATACTGTTGCAGCTCTACAAAACTCCAGACGACAAATACCTGCTTGATCTCCAAAGAATTAGCGGTCCGCAGTTCCTCTTCTTGGATTTCTGTGCTGTTTTCATTATGCAGCTGGAGACACCACAATGATTGGAAAGAAAGAGGATGTCTGGAGCAATTGTGTATTTTGTTGACAATGAGAAACCTTGTTGTACATATCAATGTGACTGGTTTTCTAGTGTTGTTTTTTACAATTATATTTTGTGTTCATGTTTATATGGGTGTGTTTTTTTTTACCAGAAGTAAGCTTTACCTGATTCATACTCTCTACAAGTGAGGAGCTCTCAGCTTTCTTTCCTACTGATTATAGTGTTCTGACATTCACTTGTTATGGTTTTTTTCTCTCAATTAAGATTATACAATATACTTCTTCCGCTCAAATTCTTGCCATACTTTTCTTTTTAATCTGCCCTAATACTTCTATCTGCTTTTTAATTATGTGAAATGTATCACCACAGTATCTTAAATACTACAAAAAGTTCTATAAATATACTTCTACACATTCCAGTAAAATTTCATCTTTTAATTAATTCTATTTCTGCGTAAAATCCAATTTATGCACCAGACTATGACAGAAATTAAGCTTCAACTCACAACTCATACAACCAATTTATGAATGTAAGAAGTGTAGAACAATCTAGTTCATAAGAAGTGTTGTATAACCATTATCTATAGATGCTGCTTCCCATATTGGCTGAAGTATGAAATTAACTCATATTTCCTGTCAAATGTGAATAACGATATCAGAATGGAGTTTCGAACAATCATGATTTCCACGATGTCATAAGACATATTACCACCCGCTTTGGCGAGGAACGTTGGGGGTCGAAACTGAATTAAGGAGATTGAGGAACTTCAACACAATAATTTGCCATCTAACAGTTTATAGGTTTCTCAATTCTATTGGAAAACAACAAAAAGTATTGAAAAATAACACCTGAGTGAAGATAAATCTGTAAATATAGCTACAAGTACTTAAAAGTGAAACTCAATTAGCTCCTCTTACATAGACAAACTTTGGCATGTCTCCAGTCATCATGAACTAAACAAGAAATCAATCACAGATAACCCAAGATTGCTTGAGAAGTAAAGTAAAAACATGAAAGCAGAAAATCAAATGAAAAAAAAAAAGAGTTGGTGTAATATCAGTTATCTTCCTTGAAAATCTTCTAAGAACATAGGAGAACCAACCACCACTCCAGAATCATCATTGATGTTAATTAGCTGATCCTCTTTATTGGCCTTCGGATTCATCCCAGGTTGTTCTGAAGAACTTGGCTTTGAATTTTCGTTCTCATTTTCCACTGGAAGATCACTCTGTGGGGATGCTCCTTCAAGTTGCAAAGCATACTCTAAGTTCCACAAAACATCTCCCATTGTAGGCCTATCAACCCCATATTCTGCCAAGCATTTCTCTGCAGCTTCCACGTATTTCCTTAACGCCTCGGGCCTAATGGTTCCTGCAAGATTAGGGTCCATGATCTTCTCCAGAGAACCCTTTCTGTGCTGCTGCATTGCCCACTCTGCTAAATTTACTTGTTCTCTTGGCAATGCTGGATCAAGTGCAGGCCTTGCACATAATACCTCAAATAGGACTACCCCAAAGGAGTAAACATCAGATTTTTCTGTTAGTTGTTGTCTTCTGAAGTACTCAGGATCAAGGTAACCAAAACTACCCTTCACTGCTGTGCTAACATGCGTTTGCTCCAGTGAAGGACCAGTTTTTGACAAGCCAAAATCAGCCATCTTTGCGACAAAGTTCTCATCCAGGAGGATGTTTGTTGTTTTGATATCACGGTGTATTATTCCTTGAGTTGATCCAGTGTGAAGGTAGTGTAGTCCTCGAGCAGCTCCTATGCAAATTTCGAGCCTTTGTCTCCACGATAGAGTTGGCAAAGTGGAACCATAAATGTGGTCGCGAAGAGGACCATTAGACATGTACTCATAGACAAGAATCATTTCTGATTGTTCGTCGCAATACCCAATGAGTGAAACAAGATGTCTATGCCTAAGCTTGGATAGCAACTCAATTTCCGTTCTGAATTCGTTTATACCTTGTGAGGATGATGGATTTCCTCGTTTTATGGCGAGTTTTATTCCATCTTCCAATTCACCAAGGTAGACTTTTCCGAAGCCTCCAACACCAATGACTGCCTTTTCATCAAAGTTTTTTGTTGCAATCTTGATTTCATTGAAAGTGAAAAGCCGGCCAAAGTTGAGGCCAGAGGATATGATTGTTGAACAAGTCTTGCTCTTGCTTGACATGAAACTACAGTAACTGGCATTGAGAGGAAGCCAAGAGGAGAATGTCTTCTGCCTCTCCCAACCATTTTTTGGTTTCCTTCGCCACCTCACAATGCCCATTACAAGCAGTACTATTGCTGTAACCCCCATTGCCAATCCAAAAGCAGCAGCAATTCTCATACCGCGAGATTTTGGCACTAGGCCTGCATTCGGTCCACCAGATGAGAACAGCCCATCCAAACTTCCCGCCATGTTGCTTATCTTCATGACCTCTAACCCATTGAGGATGGCATTTGGGAGGCTAGACAGAATATCAGCAGCGGGCCCCACCTGCACGATGATTGAGCCGTTGGTTATGGCTGTGGCATTGAGCACAAAGTCTTTGTAATAAGGGGTGGCCAAATCTGAAGTGAGTGTTGAGAGGTCAAGACTAGAAACCCCCGTTATCTCATTAATATAGACATTGAAGTACAACTTATTTAGGCCTTGGCTCACAATATCACAGAAATGCATTCTGATCAAGTAAGAAAAACTCGGATCAACGTTCATCTCCCACGTTAGCTTAAAATTAGAGTTTGCCACACCAGCATCTGCCATCCTATCAGCTGTGGAATAAACCCATCGCGGAGCAATCAAAGGTGTTGCACCTCCATCCGGATATTTGATCGTCTCAGGAGGAACCGATACATTCTGAGCTCCTTGTGGAAATACCATATACTGGTCATCAGGCAACCATGTCCTCCACAATGTATCATTTTTAGGTGTGACAATTGACCCTCCAATATTTAGCCGATAACTTACTTCAAACGCGAATTGAGACAAGCCATTGAAATCACCAACAGGGGAAACTGCAGCAGCTGAATCAGGAATGAGATCATCTGGTGCTGAGACAAACTCAATAGCATTGATAAAAGCAAAAGATTTCTTCTGAGGTGAAAATTTGAGGGTAAATTGAGATGAAGTAATATTAATAAGGTATTCTTTGAATACAGGTTTACTAGTATCCTTCACTGAGAAATCATGCAGTAAAACAATACTATCAGAAGAAACACTGAACATAGCACTTGTTAGAATGTAATTTGGATGTGAAAGAGGATAAAAGTACAAACGCACCCAATGCCTGCCCGGTTGAAAAACAAGAAATCTATACAAAGATTCACTTTCAAATATTCTTGCTGTTTGATACAACAAAGATTCAGAGGAAAAAGAAGAGACCTTTTCTTGTAAAGACTTAACAGAAGCTAAAATAGTCTGATCAGTAGACAAGTAAGAAGCAGATTGAGGATCAGACTTAAAAGTCCTTCCATCATCAAGCAATGTAGTATCAGGGGATCCACAGTTGATCAGATAAGTATCAGCCGGCGTAAATTTTCCTTTAGAAGTTGAAGTGGCTACATTTGCAAAAAACAGTACAAGAAAAGCAAAAATGACAAAATGGTGTTTTCTTTCTCTCATCTTTTGTTGTATGAGAGAAAGATTATTGATGTTAGAATTACTAGTAGAATTTTTGAATAGACATAAGGATAGCAAATAGTGGGTAAGAGTAGCACGTTTATGTTTGTAAAGGTCAAGAAGAATATTGTGAGCTTAATGAAATGGCTAAAAGAGAAAAAACATTAGTTGTTAACATGTTAGTATAGAACGTGCCTTCTTGTATAGTTGTTTGAAAATATAGACTTTTTCTGGGAAGAATTAGTATTTGAAAGCTTTTTCTGTTAAGTCCCCAGTTTTAAATTTTAAGAAATGATTTGATTAACTAACAACAAACACAAAAGTCCAATAGCGCGTATCCAGCTGGGAATATAATGCTTAAAGAAAAGATTGTTAATTGGTTGACCTTTCAAGGGAAATGGGCTACCATCAACAGCAAAATCAGATAATCATCCTTTGGTTATGCAACTTGTGGGACCAAACACCCAATTTTTAGGAATTTTAATTTATCCTCACTAATGCCAGTTAAGTAAGTTGGGATTATGGTCTCTCTTATTGTCCATAATTCTCTAATCAACTGATTTTTTCGGTTAATTTAAACGATTATTGATCTAAATAAACTAAGTGATGGAGAAAAAAGTAAGAGAATTGAAAGGTAATTGCTTTCTTGCAAGCAAAAAATTGTAGCTGGAATGAACATAGCAATAAGTCCATTTGCGAATACTCAATGGACTAAATTCAAATTCACCTTTGTATGCCATGAAGAAAAGCTGACAATACCAACGACACCTCAATTCCAAGCAAATTAATGGTCGACTATATGAATTTTTACGATCCTTACATGTCTGAAATATGGATAAAAATATTGAAATTAAATAGCTAGGCCTTATATGAATGAGCTTTACACAATATTAATCATTTTTCCAATAAATAAAAAAAATCAATCATATAGTATAAATAGTGGAATTAATTACATATCGACCAAAAAATTCATTGCAGCCGGAAGTCTTGTCCTTCTGCTTTCATGTGAAGGAACTATAACATGTTCGCCAAATATTATTGCAGTCGGCAACCTTATTCTTCTGTTTTCATGTAAAGGAGTCCTCGCCTTATCCTCTACAGATAAATTAAGCACAATCAACAAATAATAAAAGCGACTAATCAAGAAAGAATCAGACGGATTCCACTTGTAATAGCTCTTCAACTAATTCAAGGGATATTAGTGCCTAAGAAACATGGCTTTTTGACAATCTACATGTAAATCTAATAACCCCTCTTGTCCTATGTTAGAATATACAAGGTTAAATAATTTTAATGTGTATCATATTAGATGTTGAATTCTCTTTGCATTTTTGTATTTTTATTTTTATTTTTTGAATTTCTTTAGTGCCCGTGATGTTTAAAATTTCAACAATTCAATTCACGATCCTATCACCTTTAATACCTGTTAATTGTTATTCAACCTCATGGACTATATACCTCTACTTTGATATCATACCTCTAAACATACAACAATTACGCAGCACAAGTAAATCAGAATAAAGACAGAAAAATAGACAATCGGAATTGTTAATATCTTACTGATGATCTTGACTAAGCTTCCAAACCAGCAGAACTCAGAGGCATTGTTACAAGTAGCATCAAGAGCTGAGATAAGAGCAAAAAGCAAGCAGAGAGCAGTGAGGTGAAAATTCGTCGTTTCACAAATCACAACAAAAGAACAACCTAAGTCAATAACAGTCCAGGTCTTTACAATAAAGAATAGTTGAAGTCAACAATACATCTCTCTGAAAGAGGAGAGTTGGGTTGAGAATCAAAAAATGTTGAAATTAAATAAGCCTATATATATGAGCTTTACACAACAATCAATCATATATTACAAATAATTGAATTAATTACATATCGACCAAAAATTCATTGCAGCCGGCAGCCTTGTCCTCCTCCTTTCACCAAATATTATTGCAGTCGGCATCCTTGTTCTTCTGCTTTCATGTATAGGAGTCCTCGCCTTATCCTCTGCAGAATAAATTATGCACAATCAACAAATAGTAAAAAGTGACTAATCGAGAAAGAAGATATAGAACATTCCACTTGTAATGCCTCCTCAAGTAATTCAAGGGATATTAGTGCTTAAGAAACATGGCTTTGACAGAGGCAGATTCAAGATTTTAATTTCATAGGTTCGATCTTTAATGTTCTTAGCACTGAACTCATTGTACTATTAAAATCATGGGTTAAGATCTAATATTTGATAAAATTGTGGACTTTTACATAAAATTCCTTACTCCGCGTCGAAAATACTGGGTTCGGATAAACAATCCGGATCCGCCCTTGGCTTTTGACTGTATATACATGTACGTTTCTAATCCTTCTTGTCCTATATGTTAGAATAACTAAGGCAATTCGCTTGAGTTGCTCAACTGCTCTTTAGCCTAGTGCTCATGGCGTGCTACAAGCAACATCCACTGTGTGGTGAGACCTTGTTCTTGAAGAAAGGAGTTCAAGAAAAAGATAGTTTAAATTAAGTGCTATAGAACAAATACCTCATGTGTATCTCTGATCTGAAGCAGGTCTAATTTCTCTGTTGGTCTACGACTGGTCAGAGTTGTAAGCTGCATTTATTCAGACGCCAACATATAAATTACTAATTCATGTCTACTACTTGTTTTTAACTTGAACATGGATTCAAGTGTTACCCAAAAACTTAAACGCTCAGGATCCTGCGGCGATGGCATCAATCCTTCTGCTTTGAAGAGTTCTGCACGTCTACGATCTGCAGGCAAAGTCTAGGTCATGATGTTACCAAAAGGATATTAACCAAAAGAATATTTAAGCTCTACTAAATACACAAAGCAGAAACACTAAGGTCAGCTTTCTGCCTGATGCCATCCAACATATTACCAGATTGACAAGGACGACAAGTTTTCCAGGTCATGTTCACCGATTTTGATTGATAAAACTATTTTTTGATAGTTCAAAAGGTTCTTGATATCACACCAATAAGGTGTCATTTACGGAAGTGCGGTAGCATGTATATCCAGCCTTCAAAAATCTAACACCTATCTATGCAAGTGGTACTTCTACTTTCAAAATCTATCTATGAAAGTGTAGTCGCTATGTATTGAAGTATCAAAAGACATCAAATAGCTATTACCAAAAAAAAAGAACATCAAATCTCATCCCACAAATGGACCAATTACAATCATTTGCCACAAAGGAGACAAGAAAGGGAAAACTCTATTAATGACTTTACCTCCTGCCACTTCTTGTGCGTTCCTCAACCACTGTTGAGCAAATGCTGCCGCCTTATTTGCCATCTCCAGTAACTATCAGCAATTGACAAATTACAATTGAACATTATAAGCTAAGACACTTGAGCGACGAGCTAGAGTTTGAAATGCATTAGGTGGTTGACAATGAATTAGTTCCTGGTGAAGCAAGGCACCAATGCACACAGAGTATACAAGTACATACACACAAATGCACACAGTATATATCAGTAAGCAGCATATAAGAGACGGAAATGAGCTATTTCCATCATAATTCAATGGTCAGTAAGAGAGTGAAAAGAATTTCTCATATGAAATATAAGGCTGTCAGTAATCTAGTTGAATTTCAGAGGAATCCCCAAAAAACATTTTACCCAAAAAATACTCAACCAGAGAGACACGAGAAACAAGAAACTTTCTTTTAGCAGGTAAAGATGAAAAGATTCATATGCCACAAAAATAAGGATCTTATATAAAATGGATCAACAAATCTCTCTCAGAGGAAATACAGTACAACTTACTTCATGCCTCTCTCTTGTTCCTTCGGCTGGGCATATATCCTGTATCCATTCAACCTCAGCAACACGATACCTTCATAATAATGGCCAAGGAAAAATATAAAAAAGCAAGCTTAAGGAAGAGTATAAAATAGCAGAACAATGGAAAAATAATAGCATTGGTGCTGCGCTTAATATTTTGGGATGGCATATTGGATCCGACCTCCTGACTCACCGCAAAGCAATAAAAGGACCAATCCAGAGATTTCTAATATCCCCTCTCCTTAGTAAAATTTCACATCTTGGCTTTTTTTATTCGTTATAGAATTTACTTCTGGGAAATAATTTAAAAAGGGAAATCATCTTCTTCAAAAGGTTTGTATGAAAGGAAAAGGAAAGTTCAAAACAAGAGGAAACCAATTCCTTCAAGTTCCTACACTTTTCCCAGGACTTATTATGGAGAAAACATTTTTCTTGTGAACTTTTTGAACTGCTTTTCCTACAAATCCCCTGCTTGCATAAACGCACAGAAAAGGTCAGAAGTTATTTTTCTGCATTTTCCTTTTCCTTTGGCAACCAAATGGTACCTGAACCTGTGTTTCCGTGCCCTTCTTACTACTCCCTCCGTTCTAATTTATGTGAACTTGTTTGACTGGGCACGGAGTTTAAGAAAAAATGAAGACTTAGTAATTTGTGGTCCTAAACAATTCAAAAAGGGCCTAAAGTATTTGTGTGGTTATAAAAACTTCTCATTAAGGGTAGAATTGTAAGTTTAAGCAAAATTGTTTCCAAATTTAGAAAGGGGTCATTCTTTTTGGAACAGACCAAAAAGGAAATAGGTTCACATAAACTGGAACGGAGGTAGTACTTTTTAAACTTAACTACCCATTTCCATCTCTACCAATAAAGAGTTGGTAATTGAACTAACCCGTCTTGATCCCAATATCGTACGATGCGACATCTACGTCGACTTTCAACCTGCATAAATTTGTGATAAATCAGATACAAGTTAAGAGAACTTTGAAGATTTGTATGAAGAAAGAAAAGATTCAGCAGAATTGCGGCTTTCTTATGGTGGAACATTTAGGCATGACACCACCTCTGGATGGAAATAACAGCTTTTTTACTTCATCCTTAAGAGAGAAACAACCAAAACCAGGGTTCATTTGGCAAGGAAATAGAATTCTCAATTTGCTGAAGGGAAAGTTGGTCAAAGTGTTCAAGAAGAACATTCACTTTCATAGGGGCACAAAAAGTAGCTATAGTGTTCACTTTGACACAAACGATCAGGTGCACCGAGGATATTGTACATGGATGCAATATTATACATGCTTTATTGTGTGGTGAAGAACCTTGACTATTTTACACTTACAAGTCCTCATATAGTAGTCTGCACCTTCATATTAATGAACTCGTAAGTAGTAAATAAGCGATGCTAACAGGAAGGCTCATGTTACAAACAAAAAAAAAACAGATGGGATGAGACAAAGAGCTGATATTCACCTCCAGATAGAAACGCCCGTCTGGAAGTGGCTCACATCTACACGAAGAGATGCAGGTTATCAGTTTCTATAAAACAAGAATAAAATGATGGAATCTTTAGAAGAATAAACGTAAAAGATATCCCCAAAATCTGAACAGCCCGCAAAACACCTACTCTATAATCTCCACTTCACAAGCACAATCAGCTATCGAACCAGTCGTAGGATCAACAACAGCCTGCATGATTAACGGTGAAGCCTCAGCCAAAAGTGAAGACTGCAAAACCAATAGGCAATAATAACAACTGAGGAGAAATCAAAGGAAACTACCATTCCCATTCGACGATTTCCTTCCATTATCCTCCTAACCTGTTTCAACAAAACAATTTGTAAACTTCTGCAAGAAGAGCTAAAATAGAAGCCATCTCTGTTGCCTAAAATAGGAGGCCATCTCTTGCAAAAGTAAGCAGGCCTCACAGATTGAGCAGTACCGTTGTTTTTTTTTGGGGGGGAGAATTAACTAAATAGGATAATCCTACTTCTTTTTTATAATAATTAGAACTTCTATTGGTGATAAGTTCAATCATCCACACATTTTTTACCTCATCTTATCATTTTGTCAAAGTAGCACAAAAGTAAATTTTCTTTCAAACCTTGTTCTCTTCTCAATCTATATATCTAGTAAACTAAGACACAATAATTGAGGCCATAGGCAATAAAATTCTTTTTTTTTTTTGAGAAGAAAAGATCTAGAAATACAATAATGATGGTTCATCTAGGTCGTGACAACCATGCGAAAGAGGCAAAACTGCATTCTACACTAATACTCAAGAACATAATAGTTAAGTAGCACTCACCATAAGTCTGTAACGAGGTTCAAAAATGTTAAGTGCAAGCTTCTCGCATGGTAGAATAACGTCCATGACAAAAAGAGGCAGCAAGTCAACACCAAGGTTTATCAGACTGTCATTCTCAGCCTTCCTTTCAACATATTCCTCAGGAAAAGTCTTTTCTATTATGTTATTCAATGTTACACTGAAAAAGTTCAAAATAAGAATGAGGCAGTAGCCACACAAGACAAAATAGAGATAAAGCAATCTTAGCCACATGAGACAAAATGTGTTCTAATACTCATTAATATTAGTGAGAACAGTCATCAAGGAGTGTAAAGGTACAGACACGATATTTTATTCCTTTTGCAAGAAGATTTTTGGTCCAGACAATCAGTCTCTTTTATAGCATTAAAAGAGAGGAAGCAACAAAGCATGTGACTGAATGACAAATACCAGTAGGATCAATTACTATCCTAAAAAGAAAAAGAAAAATAGAGAAGCTGTAGTCTCAGCAGTAAAGTGTAAAACAAGTACAATGGGAGGATGTACCATAAGCAACTAACCTGATTGCACATGTTCTGGGACTAATGAAAAGAACTGTTCGGCACAATGGGCATCTGTTATCTAGAAAAAAATTCATCAAAAGGGTAAAACAAGAGTAAGGAGATGAGAATACGATGGTCGTAATTCAATATATAAAAAGAAGCCAAGGTAGATAGGCAGGCAAATCTAAAACTTACATCGGTCCATTGATTGGAAGAGGCATGCACGGCAAAAAGAATGTCCGCAAGGAGTTGTTATAGGTTCATATAATAGCTTTAAGCACAGAGTACAGTCAAAATCATCACTGCGCTGTGGTCTCCCGTGGATTCTCGTTCCAAGTGTAGCTTTGATCCATTTCTCCAAATTTAGAAGGGGATTGCTACATCGCAGAAGAAACAGCGATTAAGAACTCACCACATAATCAAACTTTATCAAAATGCTTCTGGGAAACAGAAACTAACATGAGAAAGCATGCTGTAGTTATGCTTATTACCATAATTTGCTTTACCTTAAAGGATTCACTTGAAGGCCTGAACGGATTACATCTTGGGCTAGCTCATTTTTTTCTAACTGGCAACTCAAGAAATTTGAGATGAGTGTCAAAAAGATTGTCAGCCAACCAAATATTTAACAAGAGATTGGAAGTATGGCAATCTCCTTCACTACATTCAAACAGTTACAACAAACTAGTTCACAAGTAAAGAAATAAGCATTTGATGAGATAACAATTGAAGCATCTGCCGCTCTCATGATAGAACAACAAATATTATGTGGTCCTAACACACTAGGACAAACCCAAATTAGTTATTTCCCCCACCTCAAAGTATAAAGAGTTTAGGAAACAACAAAATAAGGAAATAGAAAATTAGGCTATGTTCCAAAGTCCACCCATGTTGAAACCATGTGCTTTCAAGTTAATGATGCACCACATATAATGTCCTTACCAAAATGAGTGAGTTTGCCTTCAGAATATATGAGTTTACTGAATTGTTCTGTGGATGCATCACCTTCTCAGCATCCTTTAACGCAAGCTGACATTGAAGTAAAACAATTTAAATTTGCTGCAAAACCTCGTACTGAGAAGGTAGAAATCATAAACTATAGCAAAAATCAGACATACCCCAGCAAGCGTTGTAGGATCCAACCCACTCAATGGCCTGTATTCTGAATCTGATGCAGTTCTACTTTTCAGAAATTGGCTAAACCTGGACGAAATTCAGTTATAAAAAAACTAAGTTCAGCTACTTGGGAACTAGCAAGCAGTCAAATAGAGAACACAGAATACAGATGGCAAAGTCAACAGAGACAAATCAAAATGGAAGTTAAACATTCAATATGCATCAGAAATACCAAGCATAAAATAAACTTTACCTGAGGTACGAAGCGCATCTGTTGCTAAGAATGATAGGGTCATTTGGCCTAGTGTTGTTAGCTCTTGTGTAACAATTGATAGCCTGACCAAGGAAATAAACTTATTGAGAACACAAGAAAAGAAGTGCAATTATGCAAGAACACAAGCCCTTTTTATCATGATCAACTAACACATTATAGCCTGAAAATCATTCTTGGGAAGGAGCTAGTTTTTGAGGTAAACATTAACGAAAAATTTTGATCAATAGACTAGGCACTGGTATGTTGTCAGAACAACATCAAGAACATTACTTCAAACCAGAGCCCCTCAACCACCTTGAATTACCTGTGCCATGTAGTTATAGAAGGATATTGGACCACATGCACTAAATTCAGATCCCTAAGTCTCAAGATTTTATCCATATCTTTAGAATATCAAACTGCCAGAGAAACTTCACACCCTCAAGAAACACAGCAAAAAAAAAAAGAAAAAAAAAGAGCTAGTCCATTCTTCACAAACCATGAGAAAGAGAGTTCATAAACACTTCGGCTTACATCTTATGCATCTTTCAAATGCCTAACATAAAAGTTTTGATTGCTAACAAAATAAATATCTTGAGTTACAGAATACAGAAAGGTACCATACCTCATAAAAAGAAGATGAAAAATGAAAGGACAAGGGTGTGTTTTGCTATGGAGAAAAATATTTTCCACGATGAACCATTTTCTAGTGTTCAGTTACCAAACAATATTTTCACAAAATCATGGACGGAGGTCAGTTTCCTTTCCAAGTATCACTCACTCATACTCCATAAGTCCATATTACTTGCTTCAACCAACACATAAACACTGTTTCGATCCTTTATGCTAAAAATATCACCAAAATACTATTCTCATGCCCTATCATCCACCTTGTATGATTAACATATGCCACCAACTTATACCCAACCAAATGATAGAAATGGTTCATAAGATGATCTTCCAAGGTGAATACATTTTTCAGGGTAAACATGTTCCTCCATATCAAACCGCCCTTGGGGGGGTATGGTACGAAAAGCAGAAAACTTCCTCCAGCAATGAGAAGATACAGGCAAGATTCATGAGATCACTACTAACATAGGCAAGATTACTAGAGATGAATAGTTTATGTGATCAATCAATTCCATTTAATGTTACGCCACGGAAACAAGTCATGTTATTCGGATTCACCAATTCCAATATTTCGGAAAGGCGATCAAAACAAAGGCAGTTAAATTGCACAACTCTTTCTTTTTTTATTTCTTTGGTTCTAAATCTTCAGTTCTCAATTCTTTAATGGACAGCTACATTGACTAAAGAAAATATATTTATCAAGAAAATGAAAATTTACCTCGTCCCATCTGTTCTCACGGTATGCTTTGTTGCCCGTTTGCACAATATCGTATAGATGACTATACCTATCCCACGACATAGATGGCTCTCCTTCATTCGCCTACATTCATCAGAAAATTCCAGAACAAGTATCTGAATCTAAGTGACTCAACCAAATAGACCAAAAAGAAATAAAGCCCAAGAACGATGGACTTGTAATTGGGATTGAGAGAGAGAGAGAGAGAGAGAGAGAGAGAGAGAGAGAGAGAGAGAGAGAAATACTGACCCATGGATAATCTTGAACATCATCAAGCCCCTCTAAACAAAACCCAGAAGAAGAAACAGAAACAGAAGCAGAAGCGTCGCCGGACATTGTAAGCAAGAAAAACTAAGAGAGCTGTAAAAGAAGAAGTACTAGTACTGAACTGAAGAAACTTATTTGCAGGTGAAGAAGGGTATAAAGGCGAACTGAAGTAGTTGTATCGTGTTCTCCCAAGAATCCTTCATTACATACATGGACTGTATTCGTTTACGTGGTCCTTCACTCTCTCTTTCCTCTTCTTGCTCTTCTATCTCTCTCTCTCTCTAGAAACGAAACTTTTTCAATCGTATACGATTTGGCGTTATTCAGACAGCTTTCGTTCTCAAGAATAAAGGACGCCCAATCTTTTCACTTGGGGAAAAACGATTCAGGGGTAAAGTCTTCCATTCATATTTATAGGACACAAATTGCACAAAAGCCGCACCTGCCAGCCGTGTAATAAAAGACAATGAAACTACTCTATCCTTTCAAAATAAATGATTTTATCCACAATAAAATATTACTTTCTCCATCTTGATTATGTATATTTTTTTCATTAACTGTTTCGAAAAGGATAATATATTCTTATTATATTTAAAAATAGTTTGTTTTTTTATTATAATAAGAAAAATTATAGGCACACAAATTTAATGGCGTGTTGACAATTGCAATTTTTTTTAAAAAAAAAAATTACTTTCTTAAAGTGTCTCTAGTCATCTTACTTTACATGAATTGAAATGGAAAGAGTAAAATAGTGTAAGTTTCATTTTGAGCTTAAATATAATATTATAATTTTCTTGAAATATTAAATATTATAAACCACGTTTATATTTTTAAATGTATAAAATAATAATCATTAATTTATTTACGTACCTGAGTAGTTGTAATATACTGTAAAATTTGTTAGAGGGAGAAATCATCAGTAGGTGATTGATATATGACAAGCGCATGATGTAAATATTAGAGAATTAATTCATGTTTGTGTTGTTTGCTTTTTGTTTTTTCTCTTGGAAGCAATCAACCAAACATGTCATCGGAAATAACCTTGGAAAATCGAAACTACAACTCTTTTTAAGTGGCCAATTGAAATTGCCATGTAATTTTCTCCTTGGAGTAGGAATCAAAAGTATTTCGAAAAATATAGCAGCCTGGCGATAAGTGAGTTGGAAAATGCTACTACTTGTATATTTCATTTACCTTTTGAATGCAATAAAGAATATCATTGAGTTAACATTTCCGGTTGTTTTATAATTAGAAATCATCTGTTTAAGTTCATATCATCTATAAATTATTTAAATTAGATACATTTTATGCATATTTTTAAGATATTAAAACTTTTAAAATGAACATAAAAAACTTTACAAATAATATTAATTGTACTAAATATTTTCTTGAATAAAAAGAATTAGTATGGATATTTACTTTTTGTTTTCCACCGCTTCTTCGTCTATCAAAAACAACATATATACCTTCACAAAGTAGGACTAAGGTTCTTCCTCAAATCTCACTTGTAAAATTATACTGGATTTATTATTGTTGGATATTTACTTTCTCATATTGATAGAGGGCATGGATAAGATGTAGGCAAGCGAAGCTTCCGAAGTATAGGCATGGGATTTTATAAAATAGCACATATACTAGTCACGTGTCTTTTTGTTATGTGACAATTGTTAGTGAGTTGTCCAATAGTTGTGCAACAAATCTGCCCAAGGAAGACAAATTTGCTGAGAGAGCCAAAGCAGCAGTTTTGATGGGATACTCTGAAACGCATAAGGGATATATACTTATGGATTTACAAACTAGATACTTCTTTACTAGCAAGGATGTTGTTTTCAAAGAGTCTGAGTTTCCTTTTGCCAAAGGAAGCACTAATATGAGCAAGGAATCTGAATTGTCTATGTCTTCTCCTTTACATATGAAGATATCAGATTACAGTAATACTCATTGTGGGTCAAACTTACCAGAAACAGCAGGAGGTGTAGCTCACACAGATGTTGAAGATGATATACAACATGAAGTTGAGAGGGCAAGTTCTAATAGTTCTGATGCAACAGGTTTTCAGGATGCAGAAGCTCAAAGTTTCAATGCAACATTCCAGGATGCAGAGGCTCAGAATGAGTTGCACAATGAAATGCAGCAATCACTTGAAGACGAAAATGAAAATGTACCACCAAACATAGGCAGGAAATATTCAAGACAGACCAAAGAGCCACTATGGATGAAAGATTTCATCACTACAAAAAAGGTTGTTACCTGTAATTATCCAATTTCAAACTATTTGTCTTATGACAAAACGTCCTCCAGTTATCAATGTTATTTGGTCATGTTCTCTCAACAGGTTAAGCCACAGTCCTTCAAAGAAGCTGTCAAGGACAATAGGTGGATTGAGGCTATGAAGTAGGAGATAAAGGCTTTGGAAAATAACAAAATATGGTGCATAGTTGATTTACCAGAGGGTAGTAGGCTCAAAATGGGTATATAAGATTAAGTATAAAGCAGATGCGGACATTGAGAGATATAAGGCAAGGCTAGTGGCAAAGGGGTATAGTCAAAGAGAAAGATTGGACTATCATGACACTTTCTCTCCGGTGGCAAAGATGGTCACTATGAGGTCAATCATAGCACTTGCTACTTCAAAAGGGTGAAACATGTTCCAAATGGATGCATACAATGACTTCTTGCAATGTGATTTATATGAGGAAGTTTATATGGAATTGCCTAAGGGATTTAGACAACAAGGTGACAGGAAAGTTTGCAAATTGATGAAGTCCTTATATGGGCTTAAACAAGCCTCAAAACAGTGGAACATCAAGCTAACAGAAGCACTCCTAAGTGCAGGTTTTGTTCAAAGCAATAATGATTGTTCCCTATTCACTCTGAGTAGCAAGGAAGAGGTAGTGATTGTCTTAGTCTATGTGGATGATCTTCTTATCACAGGAAGCAGTGCAAGCTTGATTAAACATGCCAAGGATATCCTACACCAAAAGTTCAAAGTCAAGGACTTAGGAGAACTTAAGTACTTCCTGAGAATTGAAGTACTAAGATCCAAGGCTGGCATTTTGTTGAACCAGAGGAAGTATGTACTACAGCTCATCTTAAAGATGGGGTTAAGTGGGGCTAAGCCTGCTTGCACGCCCTTGGAGGCTAATGCAAAACTCACTTCAGTGGAATATGATCAAGCAAATGGAGTCAAGGATGATTCCCTATTACAGGACATCAGTGCCAAACAAAGGCTAGTTGGCAAGCTGCTGTATGTCACCATTGCAAGACCTAGCATCAATTATGTTGTGAAAACCTTAAGTCAGTTCATGCAAAGGCCCAAGAAGTCTTATTGGGATATTGCAGTTAGAGTTGTAATGTACTTAAAGGGTGCATTGGGACAGGGAATCTTAATGGCTTCTGATCACACATGGGAGTTAGCATGTTATTGGTGTGATTCAGACATGGCAACATGTCCCAACACAAGAAGGTCAGTTACTGGTTATTATCACGACCCAAACCAATGGGCCACGACGGGTGCCCGAGTCCTACCTGTCGAACACCCTTAAGCATGCGTCTAAGATATAAATATGAATAATATCCGCTGAATTACGAGAATAACATGCGTGAGAAAAACCTGTCCAAAAGACATATGTACATATACATGCGGAATACGTAGAGCGAGCCGACAAGGCTGCTATAGACAACTACATATCCAAAACTGGAAGCCGGCAAGGCCACATACTATCCAACTATACATACTGTCTACAGATCTCTAAAGCCGGCAAGGCCACATACTATCCAACTATACATACTGTCTACAGATCTCTAAAGCCGGCAAGGCCACATACTATCCAACTATACATACTGTCTACAAATCTCTAATAGAATATACAACTGTACAAGGACGGGACTGGGCTCCGTCATACCCATATGTGTATATAAGCATATCGTACCAAAATCAAAAGCAGTTCCAGATCAAGTGGAGCATGCCAACTCTCGCTGATCAAGGATCCTAAGAAGAGGGACCGTTAGCTCGTCCACATGTACCTACGGGCATGAAACGCAGGCCCCGGGAAATAGGGTGTTAGTACGAATAATGTACTGAGTATGTAAGGCATAAATATCCGTACATAACAGACATAGATGAAACATGGAATAAAAAATTCCGTCTGTAAGTCTAAATCACTTTGTAAATCCTGAAACATTTGTAATATTATGCACGTGCGTATAAATGTCGTGTCATGCATAGGTATAGGTGTACATAATATTATCAAGCCTCTGAGGGCATCCCATCATATCATCTCGGCCACTGTGGGCAAAATCATCAACATGTACCAGTTGATCAAGTGGCGGTACATATATAACGCCATAACCTTTTCCCATATCCCATATATATATATATAATATATTCCTATATAATGTCATCTAGTCATGGGTCAATGTGCATGTATAAATGGATGAAATGCATAAAAAAATATGTTAATAAGATCAATATACCTTTCGGATAAATTTTATCAACTACGTATTTTTCTGAGACCCATGAACAGAAGATATAATAATATGTCACGTGGGGAATCAAGAATATAGACACCCCTAGTACTTCTATGAGTAGAGTTATTTATGAAAGCTGTCTGTTTGCTCATTTCGTTTGTATCATTTGGATCATGCCAAAAAGAAAGAAGGGATAACCTTAACATACCTGAGTCGGTTCTTTAGACAATCCTTCTAACACACGATAATTGCAACAAAACTCGTGACAGCGGGATCGAAATAGGGAACAATTCGTATGATATTCTTGAGAAAGATTGTACCGTATTCTCTTAGAATCGCAAACCCCACGTTGCTATAACATTAAGTAGTCTGCGTATGAAATGTTCAAAGCAATAACATTGCTTATTGCAAAATCATCTTTGATGAAACACTTTCTTAAGAGATGTAACGTTGCTATGCAAAGAAATATTTACTGAAAACTCTTTCCTTAGCAATTGATTTTGAACTAGAAATGTTACTTTTATCCTTTAGGTATGCCCTACTTAGGATGACTAACCTTTCCTAAAGGCTTCTAATTTGGCCACCTAAATGTAATGAATCTTATTCATTACTTGGGGCTGGCACATTGGGTTCCTTGGTCTTATCCAAGGTTGTTAATTAATTACTCACTAATTTTAATTAACTTTCTAATTCCCCCATTAACCAATAATTCATATAATTAAGAATTATCTTAAATTACTTAAAATACTACTTACTTTTAATACACTTTATGTACCCTACTATCATGGTCATGTAGTACCTTGTATGGCACTAGTCTATAAATATCGGGTACTATAGCTCGCACCGTATTTTATCTCAAATCGACAATCTTCAACGAAACTCATTTTATTTGATTCGTTTACCCTTTAACC